CATCACCATCATCATCATCATCATCATCACCACCACCACCATCACCATCACCATCACCATCACCATCACTACTATCATCATCATCATCATCATCATCATCATCAACACCATAATCATTGCCATCAACAGCAGCAACAACAAGAACAATAACGAGAACAATAACCAGAACGAGAAGGAGAACAACGACACACACACACAAAGAAAACAGGAACAAGAGCAACAACACAACCAAAAACATTAACATGACTTGTATTTATAGTTTTTTTTTGTGGAGATTTCCTAAAATCTAGCCACCCCCAAATCATCCAAGTCATTAGACAATGACTTAGTATATAGTGAAACATATTCAAACCCATGCTGACTTAATTTTAGGAAATCCTCTGTCATTCCATTATGCTGGTTGGTTGGGGATTCCCTATTGAATTACCATAATCTCCTATAACTATAATCATCAATCAGCCAGGGTTTTGAGCGCTGCTCAGGTTACTCATGCCTTTATAAGAATAATAACAAAATAATAATATCTATAGATGGGTTCCCTAAAATGGTGGGCACCCCTAAATCATCAATCTAAAGCAATTTCGTTATAAACCATCCATTGTACCACCATCTATGGAAACCCATATATATATATAATTTACTGTTTTTCACACATATATACATATTGTAAAAATTAAAAAGTACATGTATATATTATGTATATATATATATGTTCTTCATGTGAACAAGGACAGCAACGACAACAACCAGAGTCGCCAACGTCTCGTACTCAGCCCCAGGCTAAGGCCAAGCCAGCATCCTACGCCTCGAGCACAGATCTCTGCAACACGAAACACGGGCAGCTAAAACCATGAACAAATGATGCATTTATGTGGATTTATTGGTTTAACATGGTTTAACACTAACAAATGGAACAGTCATGATCAACACTAAATGGAACGTTCACCAGGAAAATGGTCAAACATGACAGGTGATTGGGATGGAAATCCGAAATTTTGGTAGATATTCATAGATATTCGAACATATCTTGATCAACCAACGTTGGGGATGGAATTGGGAAAAAACATGCGGGAGGATTGGCAGTTGGAAATTTGGGATGAGGTTTCAGGTTGGTAAGGGATTTGTAGATGGACTTGCTACAAGCATGGTGTTCACAATCGAGGCATGATGTGTGGATCCAGTGTAGGTGGGTTGTACCCATGTGCTGGCCGTTCCCTACCTTCGAGAAAAGCCCCAGTTGCCGATTTGTAATGGCAGTTATCACGGCTTTGACCACATCCTACTGGCAACTTGATACGTGGCCAGTTATCAAGCAGTTGCTGGTTGCATGATGTTGCACGTGACTGGTTGTGGGGCAGACACCTACACCACGGAGTTATTTTTCACAGGGAGTTTTGTTTCAGTGGAATTAGTAAATTGGCCACTTGATTCAGCACTTACCATTTCGCATTTCGCATTTCGATTGTCTTCCTTAAAATCCCAAATTTCCAACTACAATCCACCTCTCAATTCATTGACCAATCATTTCCCCAACATTTCCCGCGTAGTTCACCCAGATTTCGCGCCAAGAAACCGAAGCTGGCCACTGCTGTAGCTACACTTCCACTGCGTCCACTGTGTGTTTCTAGCTCAGGCGCCTACAGGCCATCCGACAAGAAGTGGGATATGGCCAACAAAGAAGGGATTCCTAACATTTATAATTTGTTTAGGTTGCACCAGCGTATTTACACCTTTATAAATAGTAGTTAACTAGTTGAAATAATATCTATGCAACTCAACGATATCAGGTTTGTGCATGAAGGTGTATACAGTATACATTATACTGTATACATGATAATTACACCCAAAAAATACACATAGAGATCACCGCAAGTCCACTATGGCAATTGCCACTCCAACCTGTTGGTGCAAACTCCTCCCATTCGCGGCAGCTGCTTACATTGACTTTCCACAGCGGAACTAGGGGTCCTTTCGCACAGCATGAAGACTAGGTCAATCCGACATGAAAAGTGAACTGATTCACCTTAAGGTCAACTAAAACAGATATGAAAACCACAAATCGGTGAGAAACGATCTATACATGGTGGATCTTCATGGTAGTTTTGTTAGTTTACTGTTGGTGTCTGCATGCTACTACCAAATTTTATGGCGTCTGCATCGGTTTCACCTCGACCGGAGATCCAACGACTTCAGCAGCAACTGCCTGCAGCAAGGGATCTGCTGCATCCTCCACCCCCATTTTTGGAGATACCGAAATAATCCGAAATACACCGAAACACGACGCTTGGTGTCAGCCAGTCATTCTTGTTTTTGGCATTGCGGCGTTCTTGATGCAGTGAAATTATAACAAAGAGGATGTTCCGTGGAGAGTCTGAAACTAATAGGTTTTCAGGGTCATCAAAGTTTGGACGTGGATACCCTTATATGCAAGTTTCTAGCCGCTGCACCCTACGCTCATTATACTGAATCATCTCTGGTTACAGTAGATGCTATCATCTATGCTAAAACTCACCGGCCGTGGCTCAAAAATTACTTAGTTACTACAGACATGAATCTCACCACCGGACAGTCTAGAAACTCCAATGAATCAGGCGATTACCCTCCACCACGTCTTCAAGTCGATGGAGCCCCGTCTGACCCAAACCAGGGAATCACTTTAACTTTGGCTTAACATAAAAATCCAAATTGCATAATTGCATTATTGATCCCCAGAAACCCAACAAAATTGGATGACTATTGGTATTTGATATCATCATATTGTCTAATCTTGACATAGAATGTGGCTTCCCTGCCTCCCTTCGCCCGATGCCGGGTGCCACGTAGGCGACCTGAGAAACCCGTTGGGTTCAACTACCCAAGGTCGTGACCCCGCAACGGTAGATGGTGAAGGTTGGTGGTTATAATAAGCCCTTGATAAGGTCTTAGCATTCGGGAGGTTACCCTGGGCGGGTAGTTGAACCTCCATATCATTTCTACGTATTTCCTTCATCTAAATCTAAAGCATCCTATAGATTTCAAAAGTAATCTCAGTCATCAAAACCACGGATTTGGGAAACACCCAGGCAGCCGCATTTCAATCTGTTTTCATCCAATAGGGGACGAATTGTGGTGCCAAGACACCGTTGACGGAAGTTGCAAAGCCAGAAGAAGCGTTAGGTAGCGGTTCCACATGGACCTGCAGCGGGAACGCCCGCCACTTGATGTGCATCAACGATGAGAATAACATGAGGTCAGTAAGATTTGAGAGACAACAATGATTAAAATATCTGGTTGCACAAACATGGCTCACAGTTGCAACACTTATATAATGCAATCAACAATGGCCGCTGCGCGGCTATGCTCGATGCCTCACGCCCATCCGCCCGGCCGGTTCCGCACGGTTTGGCGGTTCGGGGGCGATTCTACCACTGGGACCCGTGGGCGCTGGTGTGGCACGTCATCTCAGGTCATGTGATCCTGCACATGCAACCACAAAGGTTGCATCATGCTGCATCCCAAACATGGCAAGAATCCTGGTGGAGAGAAAACATGTCATGGTTCTTGGTTTGACACCTGTAGAAAACGAGTTTGCTCGCATATTTGACCAAACATGTCTGAACACAGGCAGCACAATTAAAAAACACAATTGAAACACCATGAAAAATTACAAATATCAATGTGCTTCATTATATGGACGACTGCTGCATCATCATACCTCACATCAGCTCACGCTATAGCTGGTGATTTTCGCGTCGTTGCTCCAGAGTCGCCAGGAAACAGCGGAATTGGTTTCCAATGACGGTCCAAATATGGAACCCCTAAGAATGAGACCTGGCATGACCTGGCTAACCAATGCTTACTGCTGGCGACACAGGAAAAATCAAGAAAACGCAAGCAGCAACAATAAAACCAAAGGGAAACAACAGGGACATGGAAAAGGAAGGAATTTCGGTATGTACCTTGTGTGCGTGTGTATGTCAGACATGAAGGTTTTGATTTTGGGACTGTTGCATGGCTGTGTCAACCTTGCGAAAGAAAAGGCAAAAATGAAAGAGGACAAGGAACAGGAAAAACAAAAAAGGAGGGAATAAACCGAAATAGAGAGAGAGAGAGAGATAGATAGGATATATAGATAGATAGGATAGGATAGGATAGGATAGGATAGGATTCGATAGGATAGGATAGGATAGGATAGGATCGATCGATCGATCGATAAATACTGTAGATAGATACTGTATATAGATAAACACTGTAACTGTAGATAGGTCCTGTAGATATGTACTGTAGATAGATACTGTAGATTGATACTGTAGACAGATAACTTTAGATAGATACTGTAGATAGATACTGTAGAAAGGTACTTTAGAAAGATACTGTAGAAAGATACTGTAGATAGGATGAATAGATACACTTTCCAATTTCCGGGGTATATTGGGCTTCAATCTGCGTTTTGCCCTTGCAGCCTTCTCAGGTTTTCCATTCCAACGGCACTGATTAATCCTGGGAAGATCCGAACGGCTTGCCATTCCAATCAGATTGTCTGTAAATATCCACGCGAAACAACCAGGGCGGCTAGGGCAAGGTGATCCCCCAAACTCCTAAATTGGCTCCAATTGTTCTTGACATGTCCAATCACTTGTGGTTCTTTTGGGGTCGCCAAATCTGTCCTTCAGATCGACAGCAAGAGTTGAATCCAGCAGAGTTTGCCCTGGGATTGGGATCGGGATCCCAAAGTCATGAAACGAAAACAATGGAAAGGCATGGACAGTCTGTGATAGAGTTCGAAACTTTTCAGCCGCCCGTCGTTGTTGTTGTTGTTGTCGTCGTCGTCGTCGTGGTTGTTGTGGTTGTTGTTGGTTTATACAGTAATTTTTTATGTAATTTTATGTTTTTGTACACGGTGATAGAATGGGAATATGTTGCCTGGGGTATCCAAGTGGGTCCAACACCAGTGTTCCAATCCTGCCAGCTCACGCCATACACCACGTTCCTGCTTTGACAAAGATCCAATATTCACGGCGCTACACCAAGTTCCAGCACGGCAAGAGCAGCTTTTTGTCATGCGCAGAAGCAATTTTCCTAAGGCTCGTCCGGATGCCGTTCAGCAGTCCGTGCCAGCACAGGGCAGGAGCCATCGAGGCTTTGCAAGGCTCATGGAAGTCCTGCAGGGTAATGAAGTGGATAAACACAAACATCTTTTGAAAACTTTAGAGGCTTCGACCAACCAACTTTCGATGTGAAAGCCAATGAGGTCATGGTTTCCTGGCAAACCGACTTAGGACTTCGGATTCGAAATATTTGGACATCACTCAGAAGAGGGTTACCAAAAGAACCACAAATCTGTCGATGTGTGATGCAATTCCTGAGCTAGTCAGCTAGTCACAATGATCTAACATATATTTGGTGAAACTAGAAGACAGCTTGCAAGGCACTTGTCTCTTGAAGTCTAGGTACTCAGGTGCCTCAAGGGTTCAAGAAACACCACATTTTCATAGCTGGTTTGGTACTTGCTTCCCGAATCATGCCAGGTGAAGATGGACATTACAAATCATTACAACAAGTAATTGAAGCTCGTCTTTAATGGGTGTTTTCACAAGTACTCATGCAGTATGTAATAGTGTATTCCATGTGTATTCCATAGTGACTGGAAAACGAGTACTTTTGAACAAAGTGCCGGCGTTACTGTAAAGTGCCATCTTGACTTTACCCCAAATTACTTCATAGTTCTGAAGATAATCAGCAAGAACCCTGCCATTGACCTCCTGTTCCACTTCAGCAAGGGGGTTGTACGCAAGGGACTCTTCAACCACACTTTCTATTACCGTAAACGGGTGCGACACTAGACAGTTCTGAGCGGATGGGCTGCCAGTTGCATGAGAAAATCTTGCAGTTTTCACGCATTCCAAGTAACCCTAGAATCACGGGATTTTCACTCGCTTTCACGACATGTTTACACCAAAATCACAAGTTTTTCACGCACTTTTCACGTTTTTATTGTTGACACCATTTGATGTTTATTGACATGTGAAAACACTTGCTCACTTGCTGATGTTGTTTTTTAAATGTGATCATGGCTGCATCGTTTCATATGTTGATTAACAATAGCATTTTTCTAGGTGAATCATAGTGAGCATCATTTAATGATGCACAGGGAATGGAGGCATAACCAATCAGTTATAAAAGTGCTTTCTAAGCAAACCTTGGAACACGAACACTTTGCACAGGTGCCAGTTAAACGAGAGCTGGGAAGTTCAAGGAAGTATATGAATGATTTTCAACTGTAAATGTAAAACATGTACAGCATATCTCTATGTGTAATGTTTCAATCATAAACTAATATCAACCAGAACTAATCTCATATATATATTTATATATTGTACATAATATATACATTAGGTGTGTGTATCATGATATCCGATTTTTAGGTCACCAGGACGGTCACCGCACCAGATCCTTGCCGTGCTCATTGGACGGGTTCCCATTCGCCAGTCGCAGGGTTCTTCTGGAGGGTTGGGCCCTGGAAGCGACGCAAGCCAGCCGGGAGTCAAGGGATGGCGGAGCCAAGGAGCTGCGAATGGATGCCTCCTAAGCACATAGTAAATGTATATACATGTGTATATATGTCTATATATATATATAGATAAATATAGCATAACATAGCTAACATCATCAGGTCCTAAGTCCTAAATCATCCTAAACTTAGAATCTATAAATATCATTAAATATCTATAAATCATGAATAATACATAAATAAATAAATAAATATATACATACGTATATAAGTTCAAACTCCACTCCGACTTGACGGTCTCTTGTTTAATGCTGGTTTGACCACTATAGCGGCTATGTCTAGGAGTCGATGGTTTCGATAGATCTCCCGGCTTTGAACCAGTCGGGGCTGTTAACAAATGGGTGTAACACATGACATAACACCCAATACCTTGGTTTAGGAACCGTACACTTGTGGCATATTGTGGCAATATACTGAATGGAATTGCACCCGCAGGTTTGATCGTTAACGACCATGGATCTAACATTCAGGGTTCACACCCTTCAGCCGACCTCCAAAGGAATGTAGAGCTGGCTGACCACTTGTCTGCCGTCCGCGGATCTTCCCTCGGCCACAAATGAAAAATCCCTGCACTAGCCATGGAGGTTTAGTTCGCTGGGAAAACCATCGCTGCGGGATTTTCCAGCATGGTGTGTGTGTGTGTGCGTGTGTTTGTTTTTGCATTGACACATCCTACACATCATAAAACAATGGCCGTAAATGGATGTTTTCTAAAATGGGGGTACCCCAAATATCCCCAAATCATCAACAACTAGACTAGGCCATTTCAGTATTGAATTAAGAGTTTTGTGGATCCCCAACTTGAAGAAGGCCCCAAATAATCGACATGAATGCAGGCGCCAAGCCACATTGTAAATCCCGGAGCCACCGTCTCCTGCTGCAGAGTACCAGACTCATCCAGGTCCAGTGGGCGGGTTTGACCTGTGGGGACATCATCCACAAACTCCAAGTTCATTCAACCATTCATAGGGATTCTTGAATTGCATGGAGTCGCCCATTGATTTTCTGGGACGTTCCAGTCATTAGCTCAGGAAATCTGAAGTCGAACTCATCCTATGGACAAACAACACAAATCAGGATCTCATACTTGAATGATGCAAAACCCCCGCCTTGGTATCTGCTTTCAGTATCTTGCTATACTACTTTCAATCACAGTTCCTGTCTCACCAACGGATCCCAAGACCCATCCCACCAGCTCCTCCAAAGCCACCAAGGCCACCTCCAAAAGCACCACCAGCACCGCCAAACCCATCGCCGGCGCCACCCCCAAGCCCACCCCCAAGGCCGCCGCCGGCACCGTTCCCAGGGCCGTATGCGCCGGGACCGCAGCCGGCGCCACCGGGACCATAGCCGCCGACGCCGTTGGGACCGTAGCTGCTGCCGTATGCGCCTCCAGCACCGCTGCCGGTCCCAAAGCTGCCATAGGCCCCAGCACCGCCGACACCAAGCATGCTGTAGTGCCTATGGCTGGGGTACTGGGGGGACATTTTGGAAATTGTAGGAAGATGGGTCATGTCACATGTCATCACCTAAGGAGCAGAACTCAAAATCGACTTGTCTGTTTGATGGACGACTTACTCGCACCAAGATTTTTTTTGAAGGACTGACTTTGCAAATTCAATTTACATACCGAGGGAAGATCCTTAGGGGAAGATCCTTGGAGCAACATCCATTAACTTTTCCATCTTACAATTGGATCAACCATCTCGAAAAACCAAAAAGGATACTTAAAACTTAAACATATGGTTTGATTTTCTATCTGTCGCCATCATTCGGGCAACAGAAAAACAAAACATACCGTTCTAGCTTTGTGGAATGTGAAGTATGACCATAATGTTTTGTTTTATTTAGATGTTTAAAGCAGGTTGTCATTTCACATGGTAGTGGCTTCATGGTTCATTCTAAAGTTAAATCCATGCTAGAGTAGGAGCTACCCAGTGCTGCAAGTGGCTGCCGTGCCGCTTCTTGTCTGTGCAGCTCGTACCTAGCGCTCTCGACGCTGGAATGTATAGACCAATTAGAGAAAGTGCATACCCCGAAAAAAATACCATGGTCATGCCGGGAAATCCCCGACAAATGGTGGTTTTGATATGGGAAAATGTAAATAATTCATCTAAGTCTACAAATGGGTGATGTTCAAGTGCCATGTTCAATTTTTGGGGTGTACACAGTTGTACACCGACACCTGTAAAATTGCGAAATTGCAGGCCGCAGTAGGTAAACTATCTTCTACACCGGGTTTCAAGTCGCGGTTGAGGTCATGTATAGCTCACCAACAAACACAGTGAACATCCATCCCTAAGAGATCTGTGTGGAGTTCTCTTGATTCCTGTGGTTGTTTTGTCCCAAAAACGGTCGGTTAGTATACCCCAAATCCACTGGCTAAACATCATATATCATATTCAATTCATCCCCATTAAGATCCATTGAGAGGCTATTTCGGAGTCGGATTTTCCGAAAACCAAACTATCGCCTTGCGTTTCCGGCTGAAGCAAGCTACCCAGGTTGATCCAGATCTGGGTGTCCCCACAAGCGTGAGTAGAAGTGACCTGAGACACCATGGCACAGAAACAAGACTGATCTTTGGGATATCATGTAGGAAATAGTAATCATATAATTATATGAGATATAATATGATATAAGATGGGATACACCTCCAATAATTATGTACCCCCCAAGAAATGAACTTGTAGCATGGGTATCAAAAACATTGCAAAAGATCTGTTAAACTGCCCACGCGAAGTTTTTCCCCACAGAAAAGGTTAAATGAAGAATTCAGATGAATCTACAGCTCGGGGCTATCACGTGGATCAAACATGATCAAAGCATTCCTTGGGTCCCAAGGGTCCCACGGGTCCCTAGGGTCCCAAGGGTGCATGGAATCTCCCCACGTGAGCGGAATGGAAGCATCCACAGGATTACTCACATGTGAAATGTACTAGGTATACTTACTGCACACCATCTAAAGTTGAATATCACTTGAGTTGAACCAAATAAGCTTGCACTTTGCTCCCAGTACAGGCACACGTCCGCATACACGGATGATTTGAACATGCAAATACAAATTTACTGGAAAGAACATCGCGTGGCTTTGATTGAGGTATGTGCAAGTTTAATGACAACTACGCTCCTACATTCTCAACATTATCCCAATCGCAATCCCACGGCAAGAATGCAACCCAGCACCCATCCCTTGAAGCATGAAGAATTCTATGACATCCTTCGTCCTCTCAATCCCATCCTGAACAAAACTGGTACGGCAGGGCACGTCCGTAGACTCCAGTTACCTGAAAGCAAACAGCAGTAGGGTGCCAAAGCAAACTGTACCCATAGATGGCTCCAGAAATTCTGTAACAAGTACAGTAAAGCGCCAATTTCATCATTGTCACTGCATGTTGCTCATTATTTCGCGAATTTCAAGGCTCTGTGCCTACAGCCTTGGGGTGTCAACAAAAAAAACTCAAGATAGCGCAGTCAGTCTTAAAATCTTACATCAAACTTCCCTTCATAGGTGGGTTTGACTGAAAATAGGGTACCCAAATCTATAGAATGGCTAAATTCCCCCCATTTTCAGACATAGCCATCATCACTGTCTTGTTTCTTGCTCTGAACAAATAGAAACCATCAATGCTTTGTCCTCCGACATGGCCGTTTCACATCATTTCACACACCATCAAAACCAGAAGTTCTGTCTGGTGAGTTCCTACATGGACGTGCATCCCAATCGGAAACTGACTGGCTAAGACCTCATACTTATTTATATATCATGATTTATATATATATATATATATTGTACATATCATATAACTACAGATTACCATAGATACAGTAACTGGAGTTACATCGAGCACATCCCCTAATATCATCTCATCCCTTTTTGCGGGTGTCGGGTGCTTCATCGGGTGCCTCATCGGGTGGAATGGATCGATTCTTCAGCGCATCCAAAGTGGGTGTTGGGATGCCCCAGTGATCTCCAGTGATGCGCACAATGCCGTCGTCGTCTCAGTGATGCGCCGAGAAAAACTTGAGATTCGTGGTGCTGCTGAGTTGTGTCTAACATACATGAGATATTTATCATGCATTGATATTAACATTAACACATAGTAGCAGAATTGAAAGGATCCGGGACATTTCACTCCAACAAAAATGTGACACATGTAACACATGGGATACAAATGGGTCTATACAAACCCACGTCGATAAGGAGAACATTTTGCCTTACAGTAATGAGCTCTCACCGCTGCCACACTTTTTCTGAATAGCAGGAGTACATCATATGCTCCAAAAAGCGCAGTCAGGCTCAGCACCAAGGCGCAAATCGAGAAAATTTTATGCCGGAAAAAGTTGAAGAATGGATAATATATATATATATATGTACATATATATATGTATATATATATATTATATATATTATATTATATATATTATATATTATATATATATAACTGGAAAAAACAAATTTCAAACTCAAACTTTCATATGTGCCATGATCAAATCACCAAGGATCAATGGGTTATGCTCCTCCATCATTGGAATCTCGAAAAAATAACTTATGAATACGTAAATGAAAACGTGACATGCCAGGCGCCATATCATGCTAGAATCATGCACAATCCATATATATATATATATAATAATATATAGCATGATATATGGTCATTTAATATTAGTGACATATATATCAATATTAGTTACATATATATCAATATATCAATAGTTACACTATTATATTAGTGGCATATTTGATGACCATCCTCCAATATGTTTTTTTCCACAGCTCCCGCGCCCGACAGCTTGGTCTCCAGTCCCCTGCGCTCGCCCTGGTTCAGCTGGTCGGCCTGGAGTTCGCTTCAGCGGTGCGTCTCTATGCTTGTAAAGTGAAGAATCCCGGTGAGTTTCATGATGCCATAAATTTATCATGAAAAAAACCATGGATATATCATGATTGCTGGTGAATCTATTGCTAATTCAGGAAATGTCAGCACTTGTACGAAAACAAAAAAACAGATGTGCCACCTGGAATCATGATTGTAAATGATTTTAAGCAATGATAGGACAGTGATAAATATTTGAAACCATCAACCACTTCTGGTTTGAAAACTCTTTGAATACGGGCACGGCAGACTGGTTTGCAGTTCAAATTCATGGCGCCCGGCTCTTCAAGTTTGACCCCATACCCCTAATGGCTATACATAGTTTCCATATGTGTTCATCCAATATCTTCTATGCCATCTATACCTGGTTGGTGGCTTCAACCATCTTGAAAAATATTAGTCAATGGGAAGGATGACATCCCATAAATGGAAAATAATCCAAATGTTCCAGTCACCACCAACCAGATACCATGATGTTCCCATTGTGTCTATATTCCCCAGCCAAGTTTCATCGTGGATCACAGCCACCATGTGCCAATTTTCCGGCCATGGCGCCTCTTGCCATGGCAACATGGCTCCCTGGGGGAGACCCAACTTCCTGGCACCAAAGCTGGTTATCTGCGGCAAAAGTGATGGTGATGTAACGGTTAAAATATGTTAAAATCCCCTAAGCTGCTAAGTTCAAGTGTACTGACCTCTGTATTGCCTCGGTGAACATCCAACACAATGAGGTTGAATGGAGATTTGCCTATATATAGTTTGACCGTTGCGGCGGAGAAATTAGCAGATTCCGCAACCTCTTGTGTTTTCTTTTTTTTTTCGAATCATTGATTCAGAGAAGGATGATGTAAGAATTCCTACGAAGAACTGTGCGTCTCGCATTGTCCCCAATAAAGCAGGCAGTTTAAGCAACTCTGCAACTGTCTACCAACGAGGAGTTTGGTCAGGGCCCCATTAGGGTATCGACTTGTGGGTGTATTTGATCTTCGCCAGACCATGAGATCTCTGCGGCCTTCCAACGAGTATTTAAACTCTAAAGGATAGCAGTATGCCATCAATGATAAACAGAGGGACAGTCGACAAAGAATATGACTCCAAAAGAACGGTTAAGTAATCATTTGTTCACTCAAAAAAAAAACATGTTTTTCAAACACCAACCTGTGATCTTTGAGTCTGCTGGCCACACCAGCTCCCACCCTTCGTTGGTCTCAACCCTGCGGAACCTTCTCTCTTCCTGACAGAACCCAACGGGATGGGTGGCGAAATGATGGAGGACACAATGGAGACATGCAACAGTGAGGGCGATACATGGAGTGACCACTTTGTTGCCACTAAAAACAGGAGGAATGAGAGCAACTTGGGTGTCTGAGCTTTTGAAGGGCTTTGAATTTTCAAGTTGAGACCCACAACGAAAGACCCTCCCTGGCAAAGTTCATGCTATCTAGCTGGAATAACAGGTTGCTTCGGATTTGGCATGTTAGAGACTACTTGAAGGCATTCATTGACTTTAAAGATTGTGTCCTTTAACACATTTGTAATTATATCACCCACCCGCCCAGTCGCCTCCAGCTCCTTTTCTCGCCTTGGAAACAAATTTGCGGACGACCAGCAATGCAAATGGATATAAATGGTGAACCCAAATCCTGAAGAGAAACCCGAAACTTGACGTGGAACCCCGCTCATGTCATCGGTCTTAAAAAGCTAGAGGTTGATTTGTGACAAACTTGTGAACCAAATGTGCAAGAACATGAGATCTAATGAGATCTAGCACATTCGAGTCCCATGAAAATATGCTTGGTTACATAATATGCCTCTGTCGTCATGACGCCCTGAAGTTGTTGAGTCACCGTAATTGTGTTTTCCATTGGTCTCCGCGGCACATCCGCCTATATCAGTCTAATCATGTCAGCTGCCATATACATTTATCATCCTTCATCCATCAAACAATGATTATTTATCAAACCCATCCCTTCTCATCCATGCATCATCCATTATCATCCGTGCATCAATCTATCATTATTGAGTGGATGATAATGATTATCCGATTATCCATAATCAATCTATATAGTCTATCATGGATAATGCACAATCTATCCATAGTTGGAAATGGCCATTTATAGTTGATTTACCCATTAATAGCATGGTGATTTTCTATAGTTTTTTGTATGTTTACCAGAGGGTAATTCCAGAAGCACCAGCACAGATTGTTTTTTTCTATCCATAGTCATCATCCATCATCATGGCTTCTCACCGCCACGGCCACGCTGAGTCGTCCCGCCGATCCAATTGCTTTCGATTCGGCAAGTGCTCACCTCAAGGACGATTCTGGAAGGTGGGGTGTCATCCACATGGGGATTTAAATGTCAAACATGGGGGGTATGTACAGTAAGTAAATGGACAATAATATATATATATATACTATAATATATATATAATATTCATGTATGTATGTGTATATATATATATGTAAGGGCCTAAGAACAAATGAACCATGAAGGCAAGTATGGTCGATTTATGTTGACTTCATTCACAATGGCATACAATGGGCAAATGGATGTACAGTAAATGGGTATTTCATGGTCATAACAATATATATATATATATCAATAAAAATACTACATTATAACCAGTGATGGCCTATTTGTATGTGGCCACCCTGGGTATATAGGAACCCTGGTTATAAATGATACACAATAAAATCAATAAATCAACATATCATAAAATCACGTTCCCCGTATCTCCCCATATCGGCGCCCAGGCCTGGCTTCAGTCGGATCTTGGGGTAGCTGGGAGTCAGCGTTTGTACCTGCGATGCGAAGCGTTTTTTTGATCCGAGTGCCTGGGCGGAATCCTGGCTCCAAAATTCACTGTGTGTCCCATGATCAAACGCAGATCCTACCAGTTGCCTCTAACGAAACCAACGCAATTTTCCAAAAGATTGATGAATCCTGGTGCAAAAAATGGGGATTCAACAAACAGTTGTTCTTCATCCCCGTTCTTGATGCATGATATCTTGGAGTTTCTAAAACATCAAATAGCCCCAACCGAATGGTCCATGGAGTGGTTTAAGGGAACATCTTAATTAATCGGAAACCATATGGATTTTCCACTGAAATATGGGGGTTGCCGCTTTCAATGAGTTTCCCTTAAACCAATCCATTGACCATCGGTTTTCCCAACAAAAGAAACATCTTTGGAGGCCATGCGAGTCCCACTTCAGGCTGGGAGCCGCGCCAGCAGCGCTTGGTTGGTCGGAACTCGTACTCGATGCTGGTCGTTGGGGAACTGCACCTCGGGGCCGATGTTTTTGTGGCTTTGGGTACTGATGCACCTACAAAAACTGCAGGGTTTTGGCCAATTTATATATCCAAACGTCATCAAACATGGCCGAAAGATCCATTTGAGGGTAAACGATGTTCTGTAGAGACCCTTTCTCAAGCCATAAGCAAATTAGATTCAGTTGTTCAAGAGTTGCCATTTCCACTGGATGAGTCCCCGGCTGTCACTGTATCATCTTCTGCATGCACCTGGGTGCACCGCTCAAGCCATCAAGATCTCGTTCAACTGGGGTCAGTACAAACTAAGCAAGGGAAATGAAGAAGTAAAACCCCAGTAACTAGAGTTATAAGATGTTACAAGTATTTATAAATACCATAAACCATCAGAATCATAAACCATAGTTATTGGAGTTATAAAATCATAAGCCAAGTTAGCCATCGTAAACGGGGGCCCCACTGAGCTGCCAAGACCTGGTGGTCATTCCTACCTGTCCCAGCTGTCCCAGCATCCATCCCATGACTCCCGACGCGATGGACCACGCCGAGGTCTTCTTCAAACCTCAGGGGAAAGATGGGAACCCTGTTGAGTTATTGGGTGTGATGGCCTAGTTCTAGATGATTTATATACAATCTAGGAATCTAGTCTTCTTAAAGTCACTAGGTTGTGCCTTTTTTCCAAGCACTTAAGCCCCACATAGCCCCACACTTGGATCGTGGGGAGCGCTGGGTACAAGTAGTCCATGGTGGTGGAAGGACATGGACATAGATTACTTCATATCCGAAGACTCAATGTCGACCATGTCAACCATGATGCAGCTTCGGTGGCAACGTACCAACCAACCCATCCTCTTCTGGAATGGACCCCCAGCTTCCAACCCCCAGCAACTCCAATGTTTTTGCATCATTTTCTTCGTTAAAACAACAATTTTATGAGTATCCCACAGTATCTCCATTTTCAGGGTCCAATTATCACGTTGCGGGGTGATATTTCCCATTATATCCTCATTATCCTTGGTATATCCATTGTTTATACCCGTTGCTATCTCATAATATCCCATGACATCCCATTTTGTCCCTGTATATTCCATTCTATCCCCTTCCCATTAAAAGCATCACCATAAAACCCCAAGGCTTCAACGGTAGGCCCGACCCGGCCGCCGGACCCACCATTGGGCGATGGCCGTTGAACCTTCACCAAGCTCAGCTCCTGTCGGAGCTAAGTACGGTTTTACTACGGCTGACCATCATAATATGAAGATTATGAAACGATCATGGGAAACTATCATAGGTTATTTTTGAATATCCATATGGCGATATGACCCTATTTAACTATCATAGGAAACTATGGTATGTTATGAAACTATCATAGGCTATTTATGGTCATTCTATACACCCTGTAGCGGCTATTTAATACTATTTAACTATAATATGGGAATATTAAATATCAAATGTGTTAACCTGGAAACATGATAGTGAAATATATTTCTACATGGGGAACACACATGTGGATATATATATATAAATAATATATATATATACAATAAAAATATATAATAAAATAAAATACATAATATATTATATATACACTATAATCTATAATACAAAATATATATGTAATATATATATAATATAATAAAAATATACATATATATATTATAATATATATAATATATTTAAATATTGTAATATATATATGTATATACTGTATTATTATTACATATATATATTATATTATTTCATGCCAAATACACAATATTACATGTATATGGGAATAAAAACTGTGAAACTTACATGAAAACCATGGGAAACTATATAATAATTATGGCCATACAAAACTTGCAATAGATTCACTCTTATTTGGGAACGTTCCAACTTTGGTCCGTTACTGTTTCAATAGGCACCAATCTCCAAAATCTACCCTTGATGGATGGCCACATCCACAGCTTGATGTTGGAAACAACCAGATCCGTCGCATCCTTTGGCCGGCTTGACATTTGTCCACCATAGAAAACTTCTGTGGCACCTGGGCAGCCAGCGCTGCATGCAGACCGGAACATGTTTAACATCTATCCTTCGGTAGGAATCTGGTAATCAAACATGACAATAGCTACAACAAATTAGTTTTATAACAATAACATGATCATAACCCACCAACGAAACTAATTAATTAACCGGTTCGACATTGTGTTTGCATGTATCACAGGGTTTTCACGGCAATGATTGGCAGAGTACATAATTTGACGCCATCATCATAGCTGGGTCCCTGGGTCCCGTGCCCAAGTTGTCCATACGATCACCTGGCGCGATTCAAAGGTTCATGTGAACCAAAGTTCGTGTGAACCAAAGTTCATGATACCCTCTGGTAATTTAACAGTTCGCGAACTGGAAAATCACCACCATGCTATATTTTCATGGGTAAATCCACTATTTCTATGGCAATACTGGGCCATGGCTTCAATAGCTATGGCTTGACATAACCAGAGGGTACCATGGTATACCCGGATCTACCTGGTAGATATAAGCAATAGATCTATCATTGAGGTTCCATGTGAAGCCACCCAATTGGTTATGTCTAGTATCAAACTATCATAAACTATCTAAATCTGGGCGGGTTGAATCTTCATAGAACCAGCATCCAAACCAAGCCCCAAATGTGGTGTTCCAGTTGGCCTGCATTCAACTGCTGAGGCGCGAACCTCGCTGAAATTTCCCACACCCCGGAGGTTCAGTGGGAAATGCTGATCCGTTAGCTGAAATTCTTTCTCCCCTTTTTGGATGGTGGAGTCTTGACTAATTTCTTCCAAATTAGAGCAGTAAAGATAAATAAACACTTCCCTATATCCTATAACATACCCTGAAATGGTAGAGAAACAAAAAAACATCGCTGGGGTTTAGGCGACTGCCGGACCTACATGACTTTGGAGCTGACCCAAACAGGGGTAAGACCAGACACAACGAGGATGTGCCTTCACACAAATAGGCGGTTTCAGCGGCAGTATGTCATATATGACTTTCCTCATACATTCTTTCCATCTGTTGCATTTATGGATCCCCTCGAAAAGAATAAATAATCTATACCAATCTTCAATTAATAAAACCTGGGGGGTACTTCTATGACTTGTCATTTTTTTCCGCCTGCCAGGTGAGGATGGAATGCCAAATAGAATGTCAGAACGGATGCCAGAAAGAATGTCAGAATATTATATGCCAGAAAGAATATAATTATATATATATATATGTATAAAAATGCAATATATCCTTCCAGATGGTATGTAAGAATCTATGTCGGAATCCAGTCGGAATAGTGCTTTTCAGGGTGGGGATCACAACCGAAGAAAGTCAGTTGTATATTTTTCAAGCACGAATAGGTCATCAACTTGATCATCAACCCAAAAGTGCCTGACTCAACCACAAATCCATGGTCCATTGGGCTCGCCCGGCTCCATGGCCACTTGCTTCCGCATCGCCGCTTCTTCGCGCTGCCGCCGTTCCTGTGGCCTCCATTGGATCCGCCGCGGTGCTCCCAGTGAAGAACCATTGGGTTTCATTGGATTAGGGCCATTACAGATACCCTCTTGGTAAACTAACATAGTTATGGAAAATCACCATGCTATTAACGGGTAAATCAACTATTTCTATGGCCATTTTCAATATGTTTGTTTACCAGAGGGTATGACATTAGATGATATGAGTATGGCTACTGTAATACATGTGAATACTTTGCGATAATGATGAATCATGATTAACGTGTTGAATGATTGATAATTAAAAACGATGGTACTATTGATTGAAGAACAATGATAAATCATGATTCATATCCATTAGTTATGGTCAATACTAGTGGTTAATAACATTTAAAAACTAGGGATAATTGAGAATCCATGATAATCATGATAATCCCATCCCAACATTGGACACACCCGACACAGCTGGATCGAGGCGATCCAGGTCCTGTTTTTTCATCCCCGACTAAACCATGGTTCCTGGAGGGGTGTTTACGGGGAAGTCAATGGAGACACATGTGATGATGGTGACCGGCGAAGGGTTAGTAACCATTCCTGATCCTTAACTCGCCAAGTCATATATCACATACTTGTTTACTGCTTCTGGCTGTTGGCCCCCAGTTTTTTGAGGTGGATACCCTGCAGCAAAGCTACATCGGAGACTTCCATAGCCAGGCTAGATTAGCGGGGAAGTACTAGTGCAAGTAAACACTTCTTAAGTATATTCATGAGTGCACATCCATGATTGCATTCGGGATTGAGGACAAACCCCAGTATATTTCAAACCATAGATGTCAGATGTCTGTTTCACTCTGCTGATTGACTATGACTCGGGCAACCGGTATCTAATGTTCCATTTCTCGTAATCTGTGGGTTTTAACTTAACCATTAACCATTCACCCATAAAAAAGGGGAAATTTCAAATGATGATTGCTGGGGTTAACCAGAAAAGGACGTATCACAATGCAATTATATGACAATCTTGATGATCAATAAAACACATCAATTAGATTTGGGGGTCCCTCATTTTCAGAAAAAAATCATCTTGTTGGCATTCGTTGATTATCATGTATATTATATGTACTTATTCCATCTAAACCATTTATAAACACATTTGTTTTTTTCATTTCTGAACTGGGGTCCCTTAGGAAATTGCCAAACCATCACCATGACGGCTGAGTCACGTTTCAAAGGATGGCATCACGGCAGCCATGGTGACCCAGCGGTGTTTACGTCGTTGGGACAGCCCGTGGGCGCGCCGGGAACGCTTGAGCTACCAGTGGAACATGGGAGATTGGAAGATGCGCAAAATAATGTTGATATGACAGAATGTCCAAGGAAAGGCTTCATATAACTCTATATGTATGTATATATATATATGGCTATGGATCAATACCTATACATACCATTTTTAGTGGGATGAACATCCATTTACCAGCTATTTTGATGTTCACCAGGGGGATAGGGTTTTGACCCATATCCATATATTTATAATGGGTGGCACTGCGGTGGCATGACCACTGGTTCTGATTGATTGAATCTACATGAAAGAAAAGGTGCGTATATGCAAACTATGTATAGCTACATATACACATACAATTGAAAGTCACTGGAGACTCACCCTTGGAGGGAAATGATCGGGGGGAAAAACAAAAGCCATGGGTATTTGATTAAGGTCGGATGCAATTTCCCCCTCGTTGAAACGGATGTAAAATGATATAACACCGCAAAGGAAACTCTGTTGCAACCCGAAGAATGCCAGAGGGGCCACCCGGGTACTTCTTCAATCACAACTCCCAACAATCACCAAGCGACTTAAGCCAATGGGCCAGAGCTTTCCAACAGGATGGTTCGCATTGAAAATTACAAGGCCACTATTGTTGGTAGTCTGTGCATTGTGGGGAAATCTCCCCGCCTTCCAGAGCCATCTCTGCTATCGTAGAGCCACATTTTCTGCGGCGTCTTTTACGCTCGACATGACGTGGCAACGCTGGCAAGTGGCCCCAAAAAAGGCAGAGATTCAGAGAACTTTGACGTGGCATTCGAACATGATATGCAAACATCACGTTGCAGAAATAACGCGCTGTGCCAGGACGGAAAATATGTCAAACTGCAAAGCCGTGTTACTTCATTTTGCAGTCCATGTTTCGGTCATACACACATGGTGAGCGCGTCATTTGGATTGTAGTTATGTTGCATGAGGAAGAACAGCATTAAATGCCGCCTTGTTGCACCATCACTTAAGTTGAAAGAGCTCCCACGACACTCTCTCTCTCAGTACTTAGTATTCCTTTGTCATATGAGTCATATCCAAAGTTTGGTTGCAAAACTGAGTAAATGTTAACACCCTGAAGATCTGCCAAGTCTTGGTACCACCGGACAGCGCGCAGATTCCAATCCATTTGGGCGTCTTCAACGCGCAAACGGGACCGATGACCTGCTCCCCCGAGATCCGAGGCTGAATCATCAGCCAGGAATTCACTGGATATTCACTGGATACAAAGCTACGAAAAAGGTAGGTCAATTCTTTCCATATATTAGTATATCATACTCTATATATATATACATACGAAAAAGATCGAAAAGGTAGGTAGGGCTATAGTCTGTATCAATCCATTCACTAGTTCGAGCCACAGTCGCGAATAACAAGCTGTTATTGTCTCGCTACATCTCGGTCTGTTGACATCTGTTATAAAATCATCCCATTGCTGTATACACAATAATAAAAGCCTTGATTGGGCATGTTTTTTTTTTTTTAAATGGATTTACCACACCCATATTGCATCTATAGTAATCTATAGATGCCGAATCATGTTCAATGTGCATAGCTTGAATATCAGAAACACATATCATTGACTATGCACATATATTGAAGCTATGGATATAGCAAGCGTTTATGGGTTTGCAAATATATATCATTGAGTCCTACATTCTCAATTTTCAGAGTCCTACATTGTGCTAATAGGTTTTCTCCTGAAGAAAAACCATCATCGACTGGATAGAACCTTTAAATCTTCGGCCGAGCAGCGACTTTGGGCAAGTTCCACAGAGAGTGGTAGTCCTGTCCAGGCTTGGCTTAGATCGCCATCCCGCAGCTTTTCCCGAGGGATCAGCATGATACCTTTGACAGTCATGCGAAGTGGTATAGATGGCCTATAATTCTGTCATGGCCTATTTGCTTCGATGATTCACCGTCTTTAGCAAAATCTAAAAGTAATGATGTTTCATTGATATGTTTAGTTGACAGAGGAAAAATACCATTTTTAACAGGTAAACCACCATGAAATCACAATCTTTCATGTGGGACAGTGATCATACCCTGTATGGAAAGCATCAGCGTCGGTGGATCAGCCGAACGAGCCATATTCCACAACTAAATCAACAAACAGGTATAAACGGTATAAACATGGAGGTGTCTAAAATGAGGGATAGCCCCAAACCATCCAAAATCAGACCATTTTAGTATTGAAACCAATGGTTTTTGCGAGATCCCCCATTTTAATAAACCCCAAATTGATTCACAGTCCCATTCCATTGAATTGCGTTTCCAACTTCATGTTGAAAAAACGTTGGCCAAGTTGAAGGGGGCACATTGGAAACATATCCACCATCGCGAAGCAGCGACCTTTGAGGTTTGCAAACAGCTTAGAACACGTTAGTGTGCTAGCTGCTAACCCCACTAGTAGTAAGCCATCATAAGCCATCCCTAGTTTCACCAGAAATCGGTCTTATGAACCCTCCAAAATTGGAGGTGTATCACTGGTTTACCATATTGAAGATTCTGGGCAATCACAGCTGCAATGGCTCAAAATTACTGCAGCATCCGCCTACCTGAAGGTCAGGCCACCCCTCACCGTCCATGCATCAGCACATGTGGCTGCGGCACAAGAGGTATTTCAGCTGGCGATCAATTGACTTGGCGACGAGGTGAGAATAGACACCCACAAATATCACAAAATATCACAAATCACAACTGGATCCGAAAAAACAAAAACTCGCAAAAACGCCACTTCGCCAGCATTTCAGCAGCCCCAAACAATCAATTCTCTCCCAGCGCTGCGCACATCAACCAAGGTCATCCACATGGCTTGTCGGATGGGGAAAAAAAACATGAAACCACGAGGCGGATTTGATGGATGCTAATGAGTACTAAAGAGCTAATCCTCAGGTTGTTGTTCTTGGCTCACGTATATTGTAGTATGAAGGCTGGCTCGTCATTTGACCCAGACCAGCTGTGGTCACATACATTTCCATCATTACCAAATCTTTTCACATCTTTATCATCGTTGTTATCGGTCACAGGACTAGCATTGATGACTATGTTGACTCAAATTGGATCTGTGACACAGAGACTCTGCCGTCGCTGTTGCAGTTGAGGTAAACGCAAGCGCAACCAACTGGAAAGTCGTGCATCTTGAATGGCGCATAAACTGCAGCCTGATCTGGATATGCATGCTGATCCCTTTGAGAATTTGTTGCAAGAAAATTCTGACCCGTTCTCTGATGAATCGTCCAAGTAGGTGTGGTCAATATAGTCAAATCAATTGCTTGCACCCATTTTTTTAATATATGTCTTGGCAACCAAATCCCATTAACCTTTGATAGAGGCCCGTGCAATCTGGCATGTCGATATTGGATTCCAAATGAAGAAATGTAATTACAACTCCCTGTGCAATCCTTGTAATGATTTCCTATCAGTGTTAATCCCTGAACAGGGGACCGTCCTTCCCGAAAAAGAGAAACACATTGGAGAATTCTGTTTCTTCACTTTCGGGAATTGTTTTTAAATTTGCGAAGCATGGGTTGAGATTTTGCACCAGCATACGTGTACCATGGTGCCAAACGTGGTCACTTCCACTTACTTCCAAAAAGAAAAGGGAACACATTTCGTATATACAAGCAGTCCAAATAAAGAGGAAAACACAAGATATTTAGTTAATTAATTATGGGTTCAAATCCACCAGCAAAATCAACAAATCTGTTCGGGATCCTCATCCCATTTGGGAAACCCAAATGTTGATTCTGAAACCACTAGAATCACTGGAAAATCATCTTCCAGGGATCGCATATGATCCCATGTTCTTACCAGCGACTTAACAAGCCGCGGGTAGGCCACTATGGCGGGAATCATCATGGACCGCAAACCAAGCACATTGGCCCGGTCACCACCACCTTAGCTCGGAATTGTGATGGTTTTGGGCTTTCATCTTGGGTGAACTTGGGTGGATGTTTTGGGAATAGACAAGTACTGACATGAAACCAGGAAGGAACGAGAAGACATGATCAACTCATGAAACTAACGCTTGACTGTGAAGGAACCATGCCAATGCAAGCAAGAGTTCCCAACTGTCCCCGTTGTGTCTGCGATTCACCAGTTCTTGGCGATATAGTCTATACGAGCCGCGGAAGTTATTTGGTACAAAACGCAGTTGACGAGGTGTTCCTACCTCGTTCTCCAGCCCCGTCACGTTTTTGGGGGTCTGACCGACCTCGTTCTTCAATGCCGCACTTGTTTTCAATAGCTAAATGCTTTGCATGCGATGGCTACCTCTTTCTCGGGGTGTTCCTACCTTGTTTTACAAGCTAATTATGATGTTTCCGACAAACGGGGGTACGCCACAATACTAGTCTCCATTTAACCACATAGAAGCCGTTGCTCATACAGCTTTAAGACATTAAAAGAAACTCCCAAACACATAGTCTACTGCAAGAATATTGCAAGTAGTTGTAAGATGTTGTAAGTGTTCCCAAATTCTCCAGGAAATAAGGACCTTCGCCCCACAATCCCCGTGCTGGAGCTTCCAACTTCAATGTATCGCATGTTTCCCCTCAGTGTATACCTGTGCTTCACATGATCCAACTTCTGGGGAAGTATATACAAAACAGAAAGATTGCGATTTTATATAGATGATAGATACTCACCAGCATTTTCCCATGAAACCCATGGTGGATTTGATACAACTGTACCATGTTTCGCCCAGGAGCATCTGGTGAGTTGTCTGCGATTTTTCGAGCATTGCCACCTGTGTTTCAAGCCCGTCGGCGTACAGTGTAGCACCAAAAACCCCGAAAGGTGGCACCAGCTACATCCTGAAATCGGCTAAGGCGAGAAATTGCTGAACTGTATCATTTCAAGCTACCCAGATGCTCCATGTATGGAATATTTACCTACATTTGGGCAATTTTTGAGGAAATGTAGCCTTTGGGAATGCCAAGATATGCCAAGTTCCTGCCTCACACCAACAGCAATCCTTCTTCAACAAATGCATCTGCTGCATCTAATGTAGTTGGCTCAATGGCGACACCTTCTCCAGGTTTGGTACCAGCTTGCACTTCTTGGGTATCGAATCTTGGAAATAGGATCAGTATCAGTGTTGTCTCGCCAAGGAGCTTTAGGCTACTGTTTGCAAGCTTAAGAGCCTGACAAACTGTACCAAAAAAGTGTCTAAGCTAGCTGTAGATATGATACCGCAGAAAAGTAGGAGGCCAAAATGCGTCATCAAATATTCTAGCCACACTCCAAACTCCCAAAGCATAGGTGGGTATAGGTCATCCTGTGAAAACTATGGGACTGAATGCCAAAAAGAGAACGGCCAATACTGAATCATGATCAAAGTTCGCCATTTGTAATTTGGTCTTAAGCATGACCTTACAACACAAAAAACATTAAATCCATAGCAGGACTTTGCACATTTGGATAATTACGCAAGAAGTAAGAAACAACACCGCCAGCCCGACCTCTGCTGCGTGGATCCTGAGAGGCTGGGAAGATCTTGTTGGGATAAACTTGCCGCAGGTAAAACTGGAGTACGAGAAACCACCAGTGATTTTTGAGTTGATTAAAGTTGAATCCTACAACACACTTGTTATATAATCTCTTCCAGGGCACCCTGGACAATCCTGAGCCAAAGTCCAAGACCGGATATGACTGGATGCTAACAAACCCACAACAGCTTCGAGACCCTGTCACGTACCAAACATGAAACTTCACCAAATGAGGTAGTCAGTGGCCAAACATGGAGAATTTGAGGATCTTTTTGAGTCATCAACAATTTGGGGATCGTTGAAACCCCACCCCTACAAATGGTGATTTCCGGGATGGTTTACTATTGGGTTTGCCACATCAATGCCATTAATTATGAATTCTTCAAAACAAACTCACAGCCACATCCATAGCTGCTCCTGGAGGGCTTTGTGTAGCACACGTACCTCAGGTGCAGCCGGTGTAGCAAATTCAGCTGCTATGCCACTGCAGATGGAATGATGCTAAGCAACATGCCCTTTGGTAAATTAACATAGCTATGGAAAATAATCACCATTTGCAAGAGGTAAAACAACTATCAATGGCCCGTTTTCAATAGCTATGTCAAATTACCAGAGGGTACTTATGCATAATTAATCATAATATTCTGCATAGGTTACTCAAATATATATATATAATGTATGATATTCAAAAAATATGAAGCTACTGCAAAAGGCTTGCGGATCCGACCGCATGTTCCATTCCTGACCTCGTTACCCAACTCATTGAATCTTTTTTCCTTCTGTACATGTGCGCAAATAAAAGGAGTTGCTCATACATTGTATATGATCCTGCATATAATAGATGTTCAACAAATCGTTTTGTTCATTGTATGTTGATTGAAACTCTCAGTTGCACTGTATGAATATGCTAGTATTTACGCATACTATTAACCGGACCTATATTTAATCATATATATGTGTTATAGCATTGCATCGTTGGGTATTCATCTACTAATGGTTATATAACAGATTGTTTCTTTCTTTACTGACTGTTAATATGATTGTTCATCTACATTATTCACTTCCCGTTTAAAATAAAACTATGTATACCATCAAATTTCCTTTTGCCAATGGTCAATACAGAATGCCATACTCTCTGGTAACCTGAAACCAACTATTTCAAATAGGTGCATCACATACTCTAGCAAGCCATTTTCCATGACTGGGTTAGATTGCCAGAGGGTAATGTACGAGCAATTGCATTACCGATAGTTAACATCGGTTATATCAACACATCCCCATTATACCACTATTGTGTTGGTATATGTTGGTATATGTTGGTATATGTTTGTTACATCCCAATCTTGTTGGTGACTAACACATGCCATATTCTTCTAACTATTCCTTCAACATGGAATAAGAGGAAATATTCTATTAATGTTATTCCATTAACAACGGCTACTGTTACAACAAAAAAAGAGAAGATTAAAGTTATCAACATTTTAGGATTGTAGTTGTCGTTTGTCCTTCTTGAGTTGCTTTAATTTCGAATCACCACTACTTCCCCATTAAGTCTCATTAAATTTCCTTTAAATCCATTTGTTTGACAGTTATTGATAGTGAATTCCAATAAAATCCACCAGAATTGGGAGGATGAACATCCACAAATCCCAGCATATCCCAGCTATTCTAAGTTTCACCTGCCGCCTTGTGGCCACTGCGTCGGCCACTTCCTCCACGTTCCCCAGCTGCGACAAACGCGCCCAGTCCTCACTGGAACACCTCAGGGGACACGATGTCCGGAGTGATTTGGAGTAGTCCCATCCCCCGACGTGGTATAGCATCAAAAACATGGTTGATTTTTAATGCTCAACTATCATCATGATCATCATGAGCAAAGGGTTTGCTAAATCCCCCTGGAAATATATTTTGTGTCCTTTTTAAAATCGCCATAACTGAAGGTATAATGAAGTTTTGGACACACCATCCATGATATTCAGGAAACTATATTCACCTTATCTATATAAGATTTTTTTGGAAGTTTCCTAAACTAGGGCTACCCCTCAATCATCATCCATGTTATTTTCGGATGTTCCATAAACCATCCAGCTATTGGGGTAGCCCCATGACTATGGAACCCCCGTGAAGCCAAGGCGCCAAGTCGGAACCTCCAAGGCCTGCAATGGAAAGCCATAGTCACCACCAGCAGCACCTCCCAGGCCCATCAATGGCACCACTCGAGCACCTGCCAGGTCGAAACTCATGGGAACACATGGGAAAGCAGAAAAAACACATCAATCTTCAGGAAAACAAAATAAACATGATTTGAAACCTATATACATATATATATATATTCATAACAGGAGAAATGGGAAGGATCAATTTAAAGTTCAATAGGGAAAAACATTCATAATTAAAAAAAAATCACCTGAAAATTGGAGGTCGTCCAAAAACTGAAGGAGATGTACAGCCCACAAGGTCCGAGTTGGCAGTCTCTTAATGCGTGAAAGAATGTGAAAGGAGAATGTGAAACAGCAAAGAATGTACAATCTATAAGTTGTACAGAATTGTACATTTTGACTTGGTTTCATGATAAACTTTGAAAGTGCAGGTTAATGATGGAACATCCTTACATGAATTCGTCATCTGTTCGACGGTCAAAACTTATGACGTGTGCCAAGATCTTACTAGTTTTTTCCTCAACCGCAGTTGTTTGAATATATATATATATACACAAATTCCCAACTATGTAACTACCTCCAAACCTGCTGGTTGTTTGAAGTAGTCCAAAAAACATAGTCATGCGTCATGAGCCCCTGTTTAGTTTGAATCATCAATAATTGCGGATCACACAAAACCAAACAATGACAAGACATTGTTCGGATCTGTTTGCTCTCCGCCCCATGTTTTCTTGTTGCATCATTCCATCCATTCCATCCGTTCCATCATTCCATCAAAAAAGGCTAATGTTCCCTACTAAAACTGCAATTTCTTGGTATCCCTCATTTTCAGACACACCACGTATCATATTGCTCGTCAGAACTGCTTGTTCTTGCTGCATACCCCATTCAAATCACTGTAAAATAACCCAAGAGATCCCACTCTTTGAATATTTGGAGCTTTCCTAAAATTAGGGGTACCCCTAAATCATCAATTTTCATGGGATTTTCCATTATAAACCATCCAGCTATTGGGGTACCCCCATGACTGTGGAAACCCCCATGGGTGAATTCTGCACCCCCTGGACCACTGCCTCGGCTAAAGGCTACCCGAGCTTCTTCAGCAACACCTGGACCCCCTTCGAAGCAAAGGTAAACGTCGCCTGCAAATGCCACTTGGGACTGCCGTGGAGGTTTTACCCTCTGGTGAACTCAAATAGATGTGGAAATCCTATCATTTCTAGACATTTTCCTGGGGAATCCGTAGGTTTTCCGCATTCATGTTAGTTTACCCGGTATATAAACATGACAAACAACGATTTAGCCAATGAATATAGTGGAAAATGAACATATCCTGGTAGAAGTTGGGCCTGTAACCAAGGACGACAGGACACAAACAAAACAAACTAACCAAGTTTGTTGGTTGAACAAGTGTCTTCTCTTTGCAACCAAGAAACGTTTAGTTTGTACAATGGGTAGAAACAAACTTATTAAGCTCGAGGCAGCATGAAAATGAAACACAATGAGAAAATATGGTTGGTTGTGAGTTTTGGAACATCAGTGGGATTTGTCCAAGCAAGAGTAAGGGCACATGCAATCCGACTTCCAAACACCTTATTTGGCAGGGTAATTTGGGTGTAGTATGGAGGTTTCCGAAGAACGGGGCGCACCGAGTTCTCATCCATTTGATGTTCGGATTTTCCATCAACCATCCAGCGATAAAGGGGTACCTATGGAAACCACTAGGCATTATCAATCCTTAAAGAGGAATCAATCCAGCACCACATGATCCAACGATCCCACGTTGTCATTGCCAGCCGGCGTTGCATCACACATGTGTTAAACTACGAGTAGCCAATATCAACCAAATCAAACCAATATAATTATACCAGTTCAAGATTCAGAGAACCTAGATATAATCCTTGCAAGGATTGACTTCAAATGGGCATCCTGACTATAGCCACTCAAATTCATCTAAACCAAGCTGGTTGCAGTACATGAATCCCAAATTTGTTTCAAAGTGGTCAGCTCTACCCATTTCCTGCAATATATACATATAATGTCACAAAAATTGATGGAACTATAATACTTTCACATATACGTATTATATACCCATTCACACCTAATCAATCACATGTTCCACAAGTAGGGGATATCCCAAAATGGTCCGCACCATGATCCTGTGCTCAAAAAAAGTCGAATATACATCCATTGATTTCCCAATGACTTCCCCATTGATGTCCTTTTACTTCCCCATGGATTTCCGGATTCCCCCATATATTTAAAAAAAGAAAGAAAACATAGGGAAATTGTGATGTCCTGAAAACTTTTTTTTGTTCCCCATTGATTTCCTTTCCTGAAAATTGCGATGACATCCCAGTCCCCCGGCACCGACGCGGCTGAAGACTTTCCGTCGCTCCGCGGCATCGACGCCCGCCACCAAGTCCTCGCCGATGGCGGCGTAGCCTGACGTAGCGCTCGGCGGATGGACATATGTTTCTATAGATGATACCCTCTGGTAAACTAACATAACTATGGAAAATCCCCATTGTTCATCGGGTAAATCAACTACAAATGGCAAGTTTCAATAGCTATGTTTGTTTACCAGAGGGTATCTGTGTTCATCATACTAGATCTCAATAGAAACTAACTAGATATGTATAGTATATATGTATAGTCTAGTCTATCAAATTTTCAAATATATAAAATATATAATATAGATATAAGTGCGTATATTGTCCATATGTGTATATGTGTATATGTATGGGTAAATCATACTATTTCACCAACCTGAAATAAGGTTGTTTTCGGACAGTTACCCCTTACTAACAATGATTCCAGTGAGGTCACTGTAAGGTCACTATCACTTACCCAGATATATTGTCTATGATTATCTATTAATATATGAATTATACAATCATCTTGAAGTAGAATAAGAAATAATCATTCAAAGATCTTCCCATTTTGGTGGCTCGTTTTGTATATACTATATGTACTATGTATAGTACTGTGTCTATATGGACTGTGTGTATGTGTACTGTGTATATGTAATATATATATATATATATTCTGTACATGTATAAACTGTGTAAACAAAAATCAGATTTCATCAAATCTTAGCACCACATTTCAAACGTGTATAAACTGTGTCTTTTTTTGAAGTGTAATTTCATCCAATTTTAGAGGCTGGGGATCGGGGATGAAGGTGAATTCGGGAGGGGCGGGGGACATTTTAAGAGGTGAACAGTCCAATCTTGGGGCCAACATTGAAATCGAGATTTGCTTCCAGCACTTCACAAGCAACCTCTTCATATGCATGTGTATGAAGACAAAACCAGCCAAATCTGGCCATTGATAGGCGGGTACACGAAAATTTTCCAGGACAAAGCCAACAAATCTCATTTTATTTACATTAACCGATAGCGGTAGCGGCCAGCCAGTTTGTCCCAAAGTCGTCCTCTCTCTTGGCCAAAATGCACCAAGTTCCTTGGAAACCAGTGGTTGAAGGTTTTTCAGGGCCAACAAGTCCTTAAGAAACCCCTGCAGGCCGTGAACTGTCAACATAGAAGTCCGTTAGTAACACCTGTGGGGAAGAACATCACTAAGCCAATCACGTGGTAGATTCACTGACAAACCCGTCCCCGATGCTGCAATGAGCTGCGAAAACCATCCGGACATAGAGGTTTGTTGGGTTTACTGCACGAATTCCTCCCCAAAAAAATAGACAATTACAGAGCAAAAACGCTGAAATGGTAATAAATTATGTGTCTATTTTTTTGGAGGTTTTACTACACCACTTTCAAATAAATGGATCCCACCGTCCCAAACCGGGCAAAGCACGTGATCTGTTGAAATCCATGTGAACTCAGTGACTTCACCATCTGCTCCTGCAGCTGGATGACAAATCAATGTGGCTATGGCTATGGCTATGGTTATGGCTATGGCTATGGCTATGATTATGGTTATGGCTATGGTTATGGCTATGGTTATGGCTATGACTATGGTTATGGCTATGGTTATGGCTATGGCTATGGTGGCTATGGCTATGGCTATGGTTATGGCTATGGCTATCGTTATGGCTATGGTTTCTTCAGCCAGAACATGACCACATTTATGTGGCCCATGTTATACAACAAGTTTGGTCGATGCCTCTTCGAATAAAGTATTCAAACACCAAATCCCATACCCATATTACACATCTTGTTAAAACATTACCCATCACGTGTTAGCGTGCCCGTTTGACATCTACTTACTGTATGTGTCACAAATGAGGATCATCGTTTCAAATCAAACAAACATATCATCAATTTGTTCGGAATTGATCCAAAAACCATAGTCATGACCTCATCCTGATCATGATCATTATATATCATGTTCACCCTCCACATCACCGCCATGAAGTTTTAGGTCACCTGGTCATTTGGTGGTGAGCAAGTCCCCTAACCCGAGAAACACAACAGGCAGTTCCGATACCTCAGGTGGTCCGTCACAGTTATGGCCGTCAACCCATTTTCTATGGAATGACAACGACATTTTTATGGAATGATAACCCCATTGATACTCGTTTGTTTCACCATTCATAACTTGTATTTCGGGCAGCTGCAGAGACCATCTCCCAAGTTCCTGCACCCCTGGTAGGCCACCAGTTAGTACCGACACGTCACGATCCGGAAGGGTCTCTACAAGCCTGGCGCCATGGCAGGGGCCCGGGGTCATTTGATACCCTGAGCCAACCATTGATCATGGGGTCCCGGGGGGGGGTCTGGATAAGCCATGGATGATCATTTTCAGAAAGAAAGGTGAATGTCCAGGTGTTCATTGAAAGTTTGGGAGGTCCAAGAGTGATTTGACCTGGATTGGGGTGGGGAGTGGGTGCCTAAAGGCTCAATAAGGCCTTAAAAAGGGCTTAAATGATAAGTATTGGATAAGCCTTGGATAAGCGAGAAACAGCTAGCTATTCTGCATACCCCCCAACCCAAAATGACCCTTCAGGGCTCCTCCCCAAAATTGCCAAAATTGAGGAAAAATGGTGAACACACATCGCAAGCACTGCAAAAATCCCAATGCCCTTTGTGGGTTGTAGCTCGAATCACCCATTGCTTTGGATAAGCAATGGATAAGGAAGTTCAGCTAAACACTTTTCGGGTGACTCCCTAAGTTAGCACTTGGGCCGTCTTTTTTCCGAGGTGCTGCGGGGATAAAATCGAAACACGCGCCCAATTGCTCAAACCACAGCGCAACTTTGCAGCTCCCGACCACTCTAACAGCAGCCCTCATGAGTTGCAACCGGCTGTCTGAGCTACGACTTTGAACGGCCAAACACGCTTAGGCTCGGGAAGTCACCCTGTGTGATGATTTTTGGATTTATGTGGAAGCATTTTGTTTTTTCGTTTTTTGAACCATTCACATCTTTGAGGGGCATGGCCCCTCTGACCAATCCGCTGCCAGGAGGAGGATCAATGACATTGTATGCTTGATTGCGAAGGGACATTGTCATGGGCAGATTGTCTACCCAACGCACACAGCGATTCGCGAATCTGAGTTCGTTCTGTACAGTACAGGACCGAATCGACATGGCCCTTGTCTTGCCTATGCACAAACGCGTCTTAAGTTAAATTACTTTTGTGGTTGCTCTTCCGGAGCAGACAGCAGTTTGAACCAATCGGCCCTGGTTTTGGCCTTTGCATGCTTCTCTACATATTCCACGATGGAAGTTTCATAGAGGCCATTGTCATCATAAAAGGCGAGGGCCAAGGTGCTGTCCAACGGATCCTGCACAGTATGAAGTCCCCGCAAAGGAACGAAAAGCGAAAGGATGCTGAGGTACGACCCTCCATCAACAGCATCTACACACCCTAAACCTCTTCAAGCCTGCAGAATCTAGAGTCATCTAGAGTCCAAGAATCAGCACTGTGACACAATGTTCTCCTCCACATCAGGTTCCAGCAAGAGGCCATAGACATTTTGCAGCACTACCTGCACAATGTCAGCAAGGCTAGACCCTTGGCTAAAACTACGTTTTGTTCACAGACTTTTTGACAAAACCGAAAGGGTGGATAAATCAAAAAGCTAAACAAACAGCAACTTTGTGTTCCGGAACCGCCACACCTGCATGCTTGTATCTCGGGTCCAGTTCCGACCCAAAATCGAATGGCACACACGGCCGTGCTGATTGATGTTGCCTGGCGACTGGAGTGCCACGTCACCCAAACACTTCTGAAACTTTCCTAGCATCGTCGCTTTTAAGTCCTGCAGAAAGATGATCTGTATGTGAATTCGTTTGTTCAGTTTTATGAAATGTGATTCGTTCCCAGTGACACTTTTACCAACAAGTGAATACAATCCGGTCTCCTTCAAGAAAAATCTCACCCCACTGCGTCTAAGTCTAAACACTGAATTTCCCTTAGCTGTCCTCATCTATGTTCCTTGCCACAATGATCTCCAACCAAGCCACAATGTTTGATGGGCGTGATAAAACGCAACTGAGGCGGAACCACTGGATAGTCTGCCGGAAACTGCACCTGGCACAAGTCTTAGGTGGAAAACAACAGTTTACCCATCAGTACTGTCATATATATATGTACACATATACATACGGACCCATACGTAGTTCAATATGTTTGAGGTTATGTACCGATGTATGCAGGTACGATTTCATGTCACGATATTTGAAGAGCTTTATTCCATGGATCATATAGCAACTGATCAATTTACCGCAACAACTCAAAGATCAAAATGTTATCAATACTATTATTTCAAAGTCAAACCCAATATGACGCAAAACAGTTTGATGTAAAGACTGGTGTGGCTCTACACCAAGCCACATAGATCTTCCAGACCCCACCAGCATAGGCTGTGCCATCGGGTCCCGACATTGTGGCTTGCCAAAAGCCAACATTACCTTGGTACAATTTCGCAGGCAAATGGAATTAGAACACATGCAGCTTGAGAGTTCCCAAGCTCTATCAGGCTCAAAAATGACCGTCCGTTTTCAATTCCACCAAGGGTTCCAAACTTTTCTTGCGATGATGATCTATGATGGAGAACTTTGAAGGAATAATTGTAAGGTACCAACAACCTAGCATTACCACTGAGTCAACCTTGCACTTGGGACGGGATGTATGTATGAAACTAATGCATTGTCCCAAACATATCAAAACATATCCTTAGGCCTGTATTCAGAGTCCTCACGCGTCCAGACTGGGGCCGCTATGCCGAACGACCCTGTCCTGCTTTTCAAACGAAATATTCTGTGCACTTCAAAGACTTAACAACAGGTACCGGTGCCTATTTCCAGCAGACCTAGGTCAAGTCCTGAAGGTTGCAGATCATGAGTTGAAGATGCAGCAAAAACAAGTTTACATGGCCTCTTCACCATGCACTACACAGAACATCAAAGAAAAGACGTGTTTGACTTATTTGACTTGATGAAAACAACAAAGCACTCAACTGTGGCCAAATAATTTTTTGAGCCCAACCTGGAATAGACCCACTTCTCCCATCAAGGCGCAGCAGCTGGGGAAAATATCCACTGCCGGATGTGGGCTGCGGTGTAGCTGCCGCATCTCTTGCAAGATCCGCTGCTGCCGTTGGGGGTTCGGCACCGCCGAAGGGCCCGGCGCCGGAGCTGCATCGCGCAAGGCATCCTGTCTGGGAATAATCTTTAAACACTGCACAACAACAGGTAGATTTCTGTTCAAGGTATTCACGTACCAAAGCAAGAACCGAAACCCAAAAAACAGAAAAGGCTTGTTCTGTTTCATTGTGCCCTTGCCTTCGAACTTGAAATTGCCACATTTGGCTTTGCAGGTTGTCATCTCATAACAAACGTCGATTCACCATCACCTAACACACAATAATCACCATGATCAGCATCATGATTTCGGAAAGCATACCTGCTAGCAACGGAGTTGCAACACATTTCGAGCACCCCGACCTCTAGGCCATGCACCGCGTGTCGAAGCTCTTGGGGTTGCTTTCGCGGCGGCACATGATCTTCACTGCAGGAATCCACAGGGCAGCCCCGAGGCCCCAAGGCCTGGCTCACAAAATGATGATCATATGAATCATATGATATAATTAGTGCTGCATGGTCTTGAAATGTTTTGAAATGTTTTGAATGTATGCTCACATTGCAAATGTACCTAGCAGATCTGGTGCCAAGTTTCGCTGGGTTCAGCCCAACAAAAAGGTAAACCTGCTGGAATCAGACTTTGCAATTTGCAACCTGCGGCTAGATACTGTCTTCAGCGACCAAAAAAATGCGGCCTTTCTAAGATTCCAATGGTCTGCCGACATGGAATCTGAGTATGTCACACCGGGCACGGGCAAATTATCATGCGATTCACGTACGGGGGCGCGTCGTCAGAGCAACCTGTACAGTATATGTTCAAGTGCTCCACCTCTCCCCCCTTGTGCTGCAGACCTGCCAATTGTTTAGTTTGGATTTGTCGAGCTTGGGTCGCTCATGGCACGAAAGAAAAACCTCCAGCTCATTGAGGCGCACAGCATCTTTGAGGCTCTCCGGCTTGAAGACGTAACCGCCGGAAGCTTTGGAGATGCGATGAAGCCGATAGTCCTGGACTTGCTGGTGGACATGGCAAGGTGGACATGGCAAGGTCAATGACATACATGTGTGGATCCCGAAGCAAATCATCAACAAAAATCCGCAGGTATTTGGGGGCGTCAGTTTTGCCAAAGATTTGGGTTGTTCCTAGATTCCCTGCCGAGCAGTTGCAACAGGTTCCAACACTGATTCAACCTTAGGTCCACTGCTCGTTTCCTGGCAGCTATTAAAGAAACAGCTACTAAGGTTCCCAAAAACAAACTACTGAAAGAAGGAACGGATGATCTTCTGGTATCAAACTCAACCCATGATCCCTGTTTAAGTGCGGGGAAAAGGGTCGCCTCTTTCGGCTAAAAGAAAGCCAACAACGTCACAGCCCGACAACTTGTTTGATGCAAGCAACGGTCTCTGTTCCAATAAGCACGGAGTCAACAACAATGTTTGAGGCACGCAGGAAGCCTCGGCAGTCCAACTCTGCGACCAAAACAGGTACATTCGGAGGCATTATGCCCTAGGATTTTGTATCACGTTTTTTGCCAGCGTTATTTCTGTAATTACAACACAAAGAAATACGCATTTAAATCAATAAATATTAAGACTATATTATATAGATACACTTAATATACATCATATATCCAAATATAAACAAATGCATGCATTTACCATATAGGGGGAGAGGGATTACCGGTGGGGTGGGGTGGGGTGGCGAGGGGTGTAAGAAAGCTTGTACTTCTCTTAGATTTAGGCTTTGTGCTTATCTTTTAACTATCTCATGCAGCTTGCAAGTCGCTCTTGCTGTGGGGTGGGTGGGGGTGGGGGGGAGTCGAAATAAGGTTCTTATTGCTTCCTTGGATTTATGCTTTGTGGTACTGTCAAAACTATCTCGTGCAACTTGCAGCACGCTCTGGGATGTTACGCGATATTCTTGCTGCGGGTTACACTTGAATAAACACCTTGGCTTGGCTAGTGTTTTGTCTGCCTTCGCTCGTTTTCGGTGCCTCGCCATGCAAAAACTGCAGGAGCCCAGAAAAAGTGTTTAAAGAAGCGTCGTGGGAAACATGGCGGAGCAAAAAAAACAAACTCACGGCGGTTCTCGCCAAAGACGATGTTCAAAATACCTGACATTTACCAATGAAATCTGACATGAAATCAAAACACCTGCTGAAACACGGTATTTTTGAGAGCATCCGTAATTATATGGAAATGTAATATCTTCAGCATCTGCTGATCGTCATTCTATTGGGGGAAATAGTAACAATATGTAACAATATACATTGTAAAATAGAATTGTTTAATAAATATATATAAATAATTGTTGCATGTTGTTGCTCTCAAACGGATCAAAAAATGGTCCAAGGACACACTTTCTTCATGCAGATGGAAAGATAAAACATGCTCATTTTGCTGAAGTAAAACAGGATTTTTCAAGATTCACCGCATGTTGGCCTACTCTCGGTGTTTACCTCCTTTCCCGCGGAAAGATCTGGCAAGCGACGCGCCACCTCTAGTGGCCCTTTGTCTGAGCACGTATCCTTGCCATCTGACAGGGCCACAATGCGCAGCTTGGGGGCAGGCAAGCTCCTGGCGACGCATGCTTGCACCCACATGACTTGAGAAGTGGGGCTTTCCATACATGTAGTATCCCCAAAATGGTTGGTTTATAAAAGCAATTCTGGGTGATTTAGGGGTACCTCCTGCTCCCCCCTTCCCAATTTTAGAAAACCTCCACATGGAAATTGGATTGGATTCGATGGTATATGCTCAGGTACTCTGATTCAGCTGCGTTTCCACCCCAAAATGAGGAAGAACAAATCAATGACGCGATGTCGACAGCAAATGAAAGTTGGGGGGCTTCTTTGAGATATGGATTCCAACCTTCCAAGACCTGCCCATTTGAGAGACGCCGCTGGCACTCCTGGTGCGCGACATCTGTCGATTTTGCCACTCTTTCAGGAGGCTTCCTGCCTTGTGCAAAGCATCAAACAGGCAGGTGTCGCCATCCTCTTTGACATCCTGCCATGTGATGGGTCAACCTGGGTATACCTGAGCCATTACAAATACCCTTATCCCATCTCACTATGCTTGTTGGTTGATAGTAAGACCCCCAGAATGGCCAATCAACCATGGTATTTTTAGTAGCCGCAGCCACAGACCTGTGGCCATGCCATAGAGTCCTGGACGCAATCCCTGAAGGACTCGTATGCAGCAGTCAGCTTGCAACGTTCGGTCACTTTGCCTCCGAAGCAAACTAAACCAATTGCGCAGGGATAGTCATACGCCAATGATCTATCTACATAAGCGTTGAACAGCTGCTTGACCACCTCCTTGGGCGATAAAAAAGGCAGGAGACAACCATGTGACATGGAAATGCGGCATTTTGATGGATTCCAAAGATCACAGCTATACAAAGAATGTGTTTAGGCTTGAAAAGAAGCTTTCCTCCAAGACCGGGCTAAGTTACTTTTTGACTCATAGTGGCTATTACATGTTCTGACCGTTGTTTTTTACTGTATGCAAAACCTAATCGTGAAGGTTACTCAAATGGCTGAAGTCTATTTCCCAAAAAGATATAAAAAGGAACAAAACTAACTGTTTGACAGTAACAAATGTCATATGCTTTTGACACCTTTTGACTTCTTTGTCGTTCATACATCATGGGGACAGGTTTGGCTCCGAAGGGGTTCAAAACGCCCATCAACTCTGCATGGCACAGCCCGTTCATGTGCATGTCAAACTGCGTTTTTGAGGGTTTCGTGTTTCCCGCTGCAACGTTAATGTTTTAGCCTTAGATAGCCTTAGCATTGAATATGATGTTGCGTTGTGCACGTGTGGGGCAGGGTAGGGTGGGGTGGGGTGGGAGGGGTTGGGGTGGGGCTGGGGGGGCTAAAACCGTTCTTTCACCCGCGCTTTTAACGTTTTTCTTCTAAGCTCTTAACTGCCCCAAGCAACTTCATACAGGCTTTTAATACGTTCTTATTTTTCTCACGCAACTTCGGAGACGCTCTCACTGCTACGCTCTTAACTTTCTCAAACAACTTCCAACACGCTCTTGCTGCTACGCTCCTTCTTGACTTTCCCAAGCAGTTTGCAACACGCTCTGATGATGCCAGCTGAATAAGTTTTCTCAAGAAACTTTCAACACACTCTTGCGCTCTTAAGTATCTCAAGAAACTTCCAACAGGCTCTTGCTACGCTCCTACATCAACACGCTCTTGCTGCTACGCTGTCAACTTCCTCAAGTAACTTCCAACACTCTCGTGCTGCTACGATCTGAATTTCTGAAGAAGCTTCCAACACGCTATTGATGCTGCGCTCCTAACTGTTTCAAGCAACTTCCAACACTCTTGATGCGATATACACTCTTCACTTTCTCAGTCAAGCAACTTCCAACAAGCTCTTGCTGCGACCCTGTTTCTCCACTGTCTCAAGCACTTTGCAACACGCTCTTGCTTCTCGGCTATTAACTTCTCAGGCAGTTTCTAATACGCTCTTGCTGCTACGCTCTTAACTTTCACAAGCAATTTGCAACAGGCTCTTCATGCTATGCTCTTCACTTTCTCAAGCAACTTCTAACACGTTCTTGCTGCTACGCTCTTAGCTTTCTCAAGAATTTTGCAACATGTTCTTGATGCTGCGCTCTTAACTCTCTCAAGCAACTTGCTACACCATCTCGATCCCAGGCTCGTAACTACATTTTCAGAAGCAAGCGCTGACTTTATGAAAATGCAAAATCAAAGACCGTCGGCAGTTGATACCAAAGATGTTTGTCACAGGCGCGCGTTTTCACACCGTTCAACCGTCTTTGTTGTATGTTTGAAGCACTTTGCAATGACTTTGCAACATCTCTTTTGTCTAAGTAGCCTCTGCGTACAAACTTCTGAATCAGGGTCGTGTCTAGATAGTAAACTTGTTTAGGCAGCTCCGGCTCGTTCAAAATGTTTGTTTGTCTCATGTACTTATTGCTCCTAGCTAACCATGTTTCGCTCACGATGTTTGTGTATAGGCTCGACTCTTGGAAAACTTAGACTAAACAAAAAACACAATAACGCAGAAAAACACGAAACACGTCACACTGAGAATCAAAAAGGCGGATGGTTGAAGATGTTACAGTAGTTGCCATGGTTTAGATTTAGATCGTGGGCTTTTCTTTTTTTTGTGGATTTATTTGCTCGTTGACATACCGTATAGTTGAGTGAAACATGTTCTAATTTCTACTTTGTGAGTGCCTTTGTTGCGCCTAGATTTGATGAAAAGGCAGAACAAAATCTCACCAATCGCAAGGAGGTGCTAGAAAAACAACCCCAATATATCCCAATAAACAAAACATATATACCTATATAGTTGATAGTGTGTTGTGTGGTAGCCAAAAAACAAAGAACATGCACCAATGGACACTTCAGCTCGTTCCATGCCAAAAAGACCAAGGATCCAAGCGCGTCATAGACTTGTCGCGATCTCCGTGCTCCCGAGCGTGGCCATCCGATGTGAGCACTAAGCGATACTCGCCTCAAACTTGTTCAAAATTGAAAGGAAGTAACACCACTTGAACTGACAGGTGACAGGTGTGTTAACATACTAGTACGGATCACATTTGCCTTGGAATTCTTTTATCCCAAACCCTTCATGTCCAAAACCTACGGCCCGACAGCCTCCCGCTGCCCCTTCGTCGTCATCATCTTCGTCGTCGCTGTTGTCATCATCGCAAAAGTCCCCGACGCACCAGTCGTCTTTGAGTATGGTTCCGACTCGCAAACCATCACCAGCATCACGCATCGGCCCCCAGAGGCGCATGTTTCCTTTGACCAGTTCTGCATGTATCTGCGGGTCTCAAGTTACTCAAAAGTAGCTTCAAATCAGGGAATGGTAAAATCCTAATGTGAAAAATACAAATACCAAGAGCAAACAAAAGCTGGGAATCCAGCAAAGAAATAATATGGCAATCCACCTTGTCGTTTGGAAACACCAACCCCTCCTTCAGATGCTTCAACACTATAGGATTTTTTTGTGCGGTGGCCGCTGTGGCAACCCCCGCAAACAAGATCAAGATCTGAAGAGCTTTTGGTGAACAAAGTCTAGCAATCAAAGCTAGGCAGCTGTGAGAGAAACTCTCCCAAGAAATTGTTTTTCCACGTTTTGGCTAGGCTTATGGCAGCACTTCAGCAAGTCCCCTGGCACAGAAGAACTAAAGTTGCACAAACAAGAAATACATTTGCAGCGCGGTTCACCCAAACTTGGCCAAGACACCCAATGGCAGGGCCAGCCGCTCGCGCTGTGACAGATAGGCCCAGTAGCGGCATTTCAATGCCGAGCAGCCACGGTACATTCAAAGGAACCGTCTCGGCCAAAGTGGGCACCAAAAAACGGGTAGAGAGGCAAAATGTATGCAAATGCTCCGGTGTAGCTACATTCTTGAGAGGATGGGGCATTAGGGTTCATATGGTTTTGACAAAAAATAGTAATTAGCCATGCAGTCAAGAGTAGGAAACCTTCGAACAAGGGTGTCCCAAAATCATGCTTGCCAAATCCTCACCACTCTGTAGGGAATCCGGGGGCCCTAAGTCGTGCGCTTGTAAACCAACACCTCCTAGCAATGCTTGAAGCACTGACAAGTAAGCAAGAGAATTCTCAACCATAGAAGCAAAATGCACAGAAAAACGAAACACAGAAACGGTTCCAAAGGAACTACATCTGATTTCAAGTCGTTTGCCATTGAATTGCATTAGGGTTAAATTTTGGAATAGCAGAATAGCACATTGACGTATATGGTTTGATGATTTAACTGTTGTGGGGGGTATTTCGGAATTGTACATGGTTGCCCCCCCGTTTTGAGTTGATTTATGATCCAATTTTTCTCTCCGCCGCCTTCAAAGCCATATCAACCCCCATGAACTACAGTTATATCTAGCAAGAAACATACAAGCAGCAGCTCAGCTAGCTATAAATAAGACTTGGCTATCTATGTGGCCCCACCGAGTAAGATCTGGAAGCATCTTGCTGTTGATGCTAGGGTCAGTTTTCCGCAGAAGTCCGCTGAATTCCGCAGAAAACTTGAAACCGTCCGCCCAACTCGATGGTTACCTGTTTATCGGTGTGAAGAAAATGATCTGCAAAAGTCCAATTGTAAATCTGTGACCCTGAGATCTGCAGGCACTGCTTTCAAGAATTACTACACATTTGGAATTGTCATCTTTGTTTGGATTCCTCCCTCCCACTGGGGCACTGCTGCCAGCAACCGCATTAGTAGCAGTGTTGGGGTGTGGTCGAATACCCCTATCCCTGCATAATCACTCTTTACATGTAAATTGTAAAATGATTATAAATAATATACATACGATTTCAACTTGATTATCATGTGAAAAATATGTGTATACTCAAGATGTAGAGGTATATAAAATATGTATGTATATATATATATAAAGAAAATATATTCATATTATGTATATATATATATATTGATACATAAATATATTTTTAAAAAATATACATACATATATATATATATAATCATATATGTATATATATATATAATATTTGTAAATAATCATCTAAGTATATATGTATATAACACGTATATTCATATGTATCCGTGCGTGTGTGTGTGTCATGTACAGGTCCGTATGGCTCCCCACTCCCTGCAAATGTTTGTGGCCCGGAAATGGATGAACAACTGCATTATACTGCATTTACACATCACACAACAGCTTTGTACAAACATCAGCCTAAACACATTCAAATAACTGCACCAAGATCAATTGCAAGTGGACCCACATCAATGATTCCTTTCCAGCGACTGGCCGTCCAGGCACCTATGACAACTTTGACCTGCTTTCCCAGGCAAAAAAGCGAAGACATTAGAGCCACCGTGATTGGTGATCCATCGACAATCCCCAGAGAAGTCAACGGCACAAGGTCCGGGAGCAAGTGATCACCATGAAACAATCTCCTTGGGATAGGGCCATGTCCAGGGGGGGAAGAACATTTGAATACCTGCAGGTGAACCCAGTGGGATAGCAAAACAGTTCAATGGGGTCTAGCCTTGATCCAAACAGCACCGATTTGATCTTTTTGGATGCCACACAGCACACGATCCTACCATGTGGCGAAGCATGTCATCAACGTGCTCAACAATAAACGTGGCTAATTACATTGGTCATATCACAAACCACCCACTGAATGCAAGGAATGGCATGCCATTGCTGCAAGGATTCAGCTGAAGCGCCGAGTTTAGCTTGCTGCAGAATTCTGACTGCGTGAAGATGCTTCTTTTCAAATCGAGACCTGTGCAACTTGGATGTTTCTCAGGTTGGCTACTTGGTCAATTCGCGGCGCCAATGCCAGGATACCCAAGTTAACTGTATCTAGCTGTATAGGGGCTGTTTCTCTGTTCAAGGTCGGTATAAATGTCTCAATTGAACATCGCCCAACTATTGGGAATATGACATTAAAAAAAACAACAACAAATACTTGATACTTGAAAGTGATATGAAATAAATGCTCAAACTGGGACATTTACCTGAACCACCGTGCCAGGACAGCGCCTGTTGTCCTTTCAGTGATCTTGATCCGGAGGCGCCACTGATCAGAAGATCGTGGCAACCAGCAATCCACATGAACATCGCCTTCCTTGGTTAAGAACACAAGTGCTGCCGAACTGCAGGAAGGCTTCAAACTTCAACATGTGTTATTTCCACATGGTATTTTTTGGGCAGAAAGGCAATGTTTCCTCCGTTTTGAAATGGATTTAAGCTGTCAGGTTCACCATCCGCTGCAAGCACGGCAACAAGACTCAAATCCTCAAACGGGAAAATAATCTGGGAAAGGACCAAAGTTGGAAACCCAATAGGCCACTTCTTCCAGTTTAGAATTCGCAATCCGTTTTGGTCAGCCAACGTATGCCAATCAATGGTTTTTCTCTTAGAACATATTATATTATTATTATATGGTATAAACATATATAAAGCACTTGGATAAAATCATCACTTGGCAAGTTTCAGGCTTGGCTTGGGGATCTTCTCTGCGACTTCCAATCCGGCGGCGATCTCGAAAGTCTCGGATCTGCGTGCGCAGGGCGTGGTTTTCCACCAGGCTCCTGCCCAGTTGGCCAATACCATCACTGGATCCTTTAGCCCAGCTTTCAACCCGAGTTGACAAGTGATGGGGGCCGTGCAAATGCCAAAACTCATCGGATTGAAAGATTGGGCTGAAATGGTCGAGCCAATCAGAAATGCCACTGATTCTTGGCGCCACATGTATGTCACACATATTTAACGGTGGGAACTCGCAACATGGGCACAACCAAACATCATGATGCCCTCTATATTCACTGCATTCTGCGAAATAACTGTTTGACGTCTGAGAATGTTTAGCACACGTAATGTTCGTTGCGGCGATTTCCACATGAAGCAAGAATGTTCATGCTTCAGATTCCCGATTACAAAAACCTCCTGGAAGCCATCAGCGTCCTGGTCAGATTTTGTCGAGTCATCGGTGACTTTTGCGATCTGGAAAGCCACTCTTGAATGGCTCGACGCTCGTAGGTGAAGCCATCTGATGTACAAACCTGGCATAGACCCAATATGGATCAATATGGATAATATGGTCCAATAATATGGGATAATAAGGTGGCAATAAGATGCAATAAGTAGATGAACTATAGACTATATAGGGTTTTTATGGGTCTATATGGTGATTGCAACTATACTCAAGTTGATGTTCCTTCCAGGCAAACTTCGTGGCGTAGACCACATTTTTGGCCCCGCAGAGCTGAACCCCGATGGGAAGGGGGTAAATACAGTGTAGCTGCCACAACCGGAACTTACCCAATATGGAAAAAACTAGAATGTCTATTGATAGGTGCCACAGTTTTCAAGCCATGAAAACATATACCCCGCACCAAGAAACAGCATCCAGCATGAGGCTCTGCGTAATGGGGCAGCAAAACTCATGCGGAACTTGACCATCCCGCGGCTGCAGCACCGCAAAGAATTTCTCGGAATGTTTCGCCTCGTAGCCCCAAGGCATCAGATGTCACCCACCATGGCTCTTTTCGAAAAAATGAATCAGTTGAGAATCTGTGAAAACCTACTTTCAATTTGAACAACGTAGAAAGTGTGGTCAAGTACAACGGAAACTTAAACACCTTCTTTGAACAGAAAGGATGGTAAGGTTCAATCACATCTCTGCAGCAACCATACCTCACCCCATTTATGACATGTATAATCCCATTTGTAACCAGTTGCAACTACTAAATTGCCACACACTGAAAGAAACAAAACTAGTTGGACGCGGGGCGATCATGCGAAGCTGTTCCTCTGAGATTCGACTGCCGCGCAAGAGCTGGCACAGTTGCTCAAGGATCATCTTTGGCCGACCTTCCCAGCCAGGAATCACACACTGCCGCAAGTAGTAAATCCCAGGGTGATGGTCAAATCTGCGCACCAATGCGTTCCTTGGATATGTAACGAGAAATCTGGAGAAATCTGGGACCTCATTTGCAAAACAAACATGTGAATGACAGATCTTTATCATGGCAGTGGGGCAGACTGACATTCCCAAGCATGGACGCGCACCAGAACGAGTGGCAACAACTCTTCCGACTCTTCTTGGGGCGGTCCAAGTTCCCACATGGAAGTTTCAGCCTGGCAGCCAATCTTGACTTTTTTCAACATGCTAAGCAATATTCAAAAATATTCAAGAATATTCAAGGATATTCAAGAGTCTTCTAGGATTACCATAACAAATAATTAAAGGTGACACACATCTATCATCAGAAAGCACAACTGCGTCTTGCACCTACTTCCAGTCCAAACAACTGGATGCGAAACACCTGCGCTTGGTCTGCTGGGAAGGTGGATTTGAGACCCATCGATTCGGAGATGTCCAAACAAACGATCACCTCAGAGCCGCTGTCTGGTGTCAACGGGGTCGAGTGGATAGGTACTTGATGGTAAATGCCCCCTTTGCCTCCCTTTACCCTCTGGTAATTTAACATAACTATGGAAAATCACCATTTTTAATGGGAAAATCCACTATAAATGGCCATTTTCAATAGCTATGTTAAATTACCAGAGGGTAATGAATGATAATGAATCATAATGCATCATATCATTTGTTTCCAATTTGGTGATATCCTCATACTACACAACACCTTACGCAACAAGTGTCATTGTCGCAACTTGCACGCGAGACGTCGCCTCACAATGACAGCAACAGAATGAGATTTGTTGCCTATGGGACACAATACCTATACAGTGAACCAACCGTTTTGATCCGCCACGTTTTCAACCTGTACAGGATGCCGAGCCATAATTTCTCTGGAGCTTGAAATAAACTATAGGGTGATCTTAGGAACTGTCGCATATAAACCCAGCAGATCTTCAATATTCAAAGCACTGACTTCATAGCCTTGAGGCCACATGTGCCACTGATGATGTGAATATGTGAATCGTATCAGCACCCATCCTCAGAACAACTCAAGAATTAGACTGGTCTACGCAGATACCCTAAAACCCCAAATCTTACAGAACGAAAGCCTGGACCAGACTTACATGACATCATCAAGGTGATCTTTGGCATCATGGTTTTTTTTTCATCCAAACTGTCAAAGCAATGAGTTGGAAAATGATTTTGAACCCTTAGTGCTCACTTGAATCAACTTAGAAACTGACCTTCTCCATCCCTGGTTTCGTTGTTCAAGGAACTCCTTCTTGAAGCTCACGGTCGTCTCGATGGTCAGACTCTAAGTCAGCCAGAGCTTTTGCCACCTCACGACGCGACTAGGACCCCTAGGAAAGGGACCAATTGGAAATAGTTGTAGATCCCACAGTTATGGCTCTTTGCCACTTATAAGTATACTAACAAAACCCCATTTATAGAATGTATAATCCAATAGAAATAATGAATTATAAAACTAATATGGCCATAACTGCAGTTGATGATATTGGATCAATATAGATGCCAAAAAATAATCCCTTCTCCCTATAACAAAAACTTCAATAATAAAACCTACCAACCCCAAATTATTTGGTTTGGCAAATTTCAGATCGACAAATTGGCCAATTAGATTGTCAATTGATCTCCTTTAGAAAACAACTAAAAAATGAAGGTCCGTTTAAAGGTTCTACCCCCTTAACAATAAAAACTATAGTTAACCCCGGGGTGTTTTTCAATTAGGGTCCGTTTGTTAAAATCGTTTTTTTCAGTTTCTTTAATGAAGGTTTTTAATTTTATATTAGGGGAAAGCTTCAAAATCCAATTTTTGGCAATATTCCTTTTGATTTCAAAAAGGAACTTAATCGATTTTGAAATTATGATTGCTTGTTTTTTGATTAAGGTTTTAAATTTAATAGGGGAAATCTTCGAAATCCATGTTTTGGCAGTATCTTAATTAGATTTTAAAAAGGAACTCAATATAATTTAATCGATTTTGAAATTGAAAAAATGTTTTTCTAATTAAATTTGCTATTAGGGGCCAGTTTCTCCCCCGAATATTAGATACCCCCTATAATAAGAACTACCCCACCCCTAGGTTTCATTATATGGGGGGAAGGGGGGGACGTGTAATATTAGGGTGAAGGGATTATCAATAGCATTGTTGAATAGTTCCAAACCATTCCAAACCCATCTCAGATACCAGCGCGGTGGAGTTCTATCTTCTCCCCTCCCTGCCCCCCCAAAAAAAAGGGCCAGCCAAAGTCAAACGATCGCATCCACAAAAATGGCAAGCCATGGCAAGCCCTCAAGGCCTGGTCCAAATCCATGTGCTCTTCACTGCCCTGCAACGGCGAGAAGATCACGCAATGTCCAGCGCCAATGGACTTGCCATGACCGGTGAAGACGACCACATGTCCCTCCTGCAGGGAACTCTCGTCGCAACATTGGCTGCGTGGAGCAGGAAAATATGGGTCAAGCTGCCTCACTGGGAAAGATGGTGAAGATAGCGAACAAGTGTCATTGTACAATCTCAGGCTTACAATAATAAGTTGACCAACCGAAAAAATATGAAGAAATGCCATCTTGGACTTGGACAAGGTTCCCTTACATTGCATCATATGAAAGCGTCTTTACCTAGACCCAGAAGTAACTGCTGCTTGCAGTTTGAACAGCACAACACAAAGTAATCCTTCATGCAGCAACTCCATCAATACCAGAATACATGGAACCCAAGGAAATTGTGCGAAAACCTTTTAACTTTTTGAAGTATTCCAGCTATGGCCTCTCAAACCAGTGTTTGAGCAGTTGGGACATATCCTTGGCGTTTGATATTTATGTTCCTTTACCAGTTGCCTTGGCCGAGGAATAATGTAAAACATCTGGGCGTCATTGTTAATGGCAAGTCTCCTTTCTTCATGTCTTGGCTCTGACAAACAAAGATTCCTGCACCTACAGTTGTCCCTATGACTGAGCGGTATACCTGAGCCACTCTTGAGCACTCCTTCGTCCGGGTCAGCTTTGGCGGCGAGTGGCATGTCCTGGGCGTTTGGTTGCAGCAAATAACGCAAGAAGCATCAATCCTATAGTCTGAAACTGCTGCAAGCGCACCATGTTCCATGAATCATGATCGTTGAACCTCCTTGAACATGAGCTTCCTCTGTGTAGACCCGAAAGTATAGGCAAATGCTGCAGCACGTTTCAATGAAAACGCGATCTGAATGTTTGCCAAATCTCTTCAAAGACAACGCGCCGATCAGGTGCAAGCAGCTGGATTTGGCTGTCTTGCCGCAGCACATTCGCAATTTTGTCCATGTTGGGAAGGATCTTGCCTTGATGGAGACACTCCGGCTACTTGAGGCAGGGGAGAGCAAACGCTAGCAAGGCTGGGAGATACCAAGGGTATAATTATCAATGTGCTGCACACAAAAGAAGGCCAAGGATCAAGTCCATGACCATTTGATTATGAGCATGCTGGGTGTGCTTGAGGGGGGGCTATATCTGCATGGCTGTACTTAGAACGGCGTCGACCCAGCCACCCACAAAATTTTGCTAAAGTAGGAAGGACTACAGGTCGCCAAAGTTAGTTTCTTAGCGCGCTATAGCGCACTCATATACAGTCAGCTTGATCAGCGAATTATATATCCATCTTCTGTTGGTTAAATCACCATTCTGACTGGTTTATATCCCACTAAATCCCATTAAAGCACCATTATATAAATCAACCATTTGAAGGAAACACCAGGATGGCCAAAGGGAATTGGTAGGCAATACCACCTGGGATGAAAGGACCCTTGGTGAGGGCCAGGGCCCAAAGGTTTTCCTACCTGGCACAGCCTTCAAAAGGCAACGGTGAAGCAAAAAAAGAGTGAGACAGCCCATATACACATATTTGTACAAATGATATTTGATTTCCACTATTCAAAGGTGGTTTTGCAAGAGTATTCTTGTCGTGGTGTTGAATCCCAACCAGCCGTGAATGCTAGGGTTGTTGGGGCTGTTGACATGTCATTGTGCGGGGGTCATTCAAAAAGGCAATCTTTCTCTGCACCAACAATTCCCCCCATGCTCACTGCACTGCGTCTAGCAGTCTAGCATCCGTTTTAGCCCGACCAGTTTTGATGGCATAGACAAGAAGTAACATCCAAAGACACCATAAATTCAAAACAAGGTCAACCTCGTCAAATCCAAATGCCCTTGCTGCAGTATCCAACAGGGAAATGGAACATCGATGATGTCAGGGTCGATACCTCAGCTGGCTTGCTGTGTCTTCCAGAGACGGTAGCCCACCTTCGGGTTGCGACTTAGTGACTGAAAGTGCAATGGTCTCACCATTGGATGGCGCGACACGCAACACCAGGCATGCCTCATCTTTGAATCTGCAAAAGGGACACGTCAGTGCTGGTTCTAAGGCACACCGCTGAAATCCTCCCGAAAAAATGATGACATGGGGTTGTTATATTCAGTGTCCGTGTCACGCAGCAAACACCAGCAATTATGTTCCACTGGTGCCACCAAACTCCCGGCCGCGGAATCATGCTTTCAAACAGAGCAATTTGCAAAAGGAATAGGAAATAGTTGGCAACTCCAAGACAAACATACTTGATCTTGATCATACTTGCACACAAGAGTGATGCTATGGTGACCTGGATGCGATCTAAGCAAACCAATGTCTTGGCATAAGTTGCCAGCGGGCCTTACTGCTGGTGTGCCTTTTTCAAAAAGGATGGCGTGCAAAGCTCTCTGGGCGTATTGTTTCCACACATGGACATACGACGTATTGAAGCAAACGGCTAGAAGACTTGGTCGCAATATGCTCACACCATGCTCACACCCCCTCTGCTGGCGAGGCTCGCTTAATCGGCTATAGATCTTCACCAAGCGGGACAGGTGCCTGAGTTCCGCCCATGGAATCAAGACAACGAAAAGAGATCAGCACAGAGCCCCGACAATTAAGTGCACTTTAAATGCTCAAGTCCCCATAGACATGAGTCATGGTTTCCAAAATGCCATGTTCAAATTTCAACTGTTGCAAAGTCACAGAGTCAGGCGACCATATCTTTTGGAGGCACGTTTGGGATCCAAGTTGATCCGATTGTGGCTACACGTTCGCCCAGTGACCGAGCATCTTGCAAATCATTAACTTCACAGGTGCGCCAGTAGGCCTGGATCTGCAGAATGAAATGTATGTAATATTTGGGATATTCTGAGTTTGGCAATTATGATCAAAATTTGCAACTTGTATCGTTCACATATTTTGAGTGTCTGTAATTGCTTTTCTGATTGCTTTGTGTCACTTTGAACATGCTTTATTAGCATTGCACAGTTTTATACAATGTTACTTGTGCCAGACTAACCTTCTTCCTTCAAATTTTAAGGCGGTGTTAGGTGGCCGAGGCATCATCAGACATCGAAGCTAGCAAACACACTCGAAGTGAGCAGACGCGGCACTTCATCATCTTCATCCAGGCGGAAGTTTGTCTCCATTTCAAGCCCTGCTTGAAGCTGAGAAATCACTTTTTCTGCAGCAAACCGGTTGATGACCATCTCCGGCCGGTCCATAAAGTAGGCTGGCTCCTGGCCACATGCAATCTGTTTGCAGAATTCCAGAGACGTCTTGAACTTGTTGCTCCCATATCGTCAACAAGCGAGCCTACAACGAACCCAATTCCGTGTAGCTCCCCTTCTATTCACAGGCAAGCTGGGATGGATGTTATTACTGTTATTCCCAGTTGTGCATGTTGCTCCTGGAAATCTTGATACAGGAGCCGCTTCCCAATCGACATGCCTTTTGGTTATGCAAAGTCTGCCAAGTTTCTGATTGGGTGACACTCAGTGAAGCCTTGTGACCTTATCTCCAAAATTCCAAAATTCTAGATGGAGCATGGTTGAAGGGAACACTAGATCCCAAAGGCGCAAAATTGTAGTGGAGGTAGTTGAAAAAACAACTTATGTACGACTCGTCATCATCCCTGTATGATGCCCCTGTTGCAGTTGATGAGGCACACCACAATACTGTCAGCTGACCAATGCCCGGACCCCCATGCAGCATCATGCAGCCTACAATCCTCGCAGCGTGTTGTGAACATATGTGAACATCTCAAAAACCAGAAGAACAACTATATAATATACGACCTTGACAAACTTCACCTGTAGCGTTTCACGTCCAATTTCAAGCAGTTGTCTTTTGACCAGGGGAAGTACTCTTCAGTACTCCTGTTTGTGGATGAACTGCCTGTGATTTCCATAGGACATTCTAAAGCGCTACCAGAAAATGAAAATGGTCTGTTTGTGGATGAACTGCCTGTGATTTCCATAGGACATTCTAAAGCGCTACCAGAGGATAGTCCCACCAAAAAAAAACAGCGGCCCCCACCTGTAACCGCTCATGAGTGATGCAACACAGCAGAGTCTGTTCCACCTCTGGGGCATCGCTTCGACAGAGCTTCGCAGAGCCCCGTTTTCTCATTGGAGGATCATCCCATGTAGTGACTGGATGTAGTGGAGAACTATGGAAAACTGATCTAATTGATACTGGTGATATATTGGGGATATGATCCATCTGTTTACAGATTAAAATGGAACACTGCTGGGCTCATTGATCAACAAGTGTCGAAGCAAGGCATAGGATGCCTTGAACAGAATGTATCTTTGAACCTCGTCCTACCTTGCTTCGATTGGATTTTAAGGCGGTCAACATGCTGTTTCACCATCGCCTGGGCGGGTGCAATGAGCTCCGCAGCCGCATCGGAAGATTCAATGAGATATGCCAGAAGGACTCGTGCATGTTCGAAAAGTTGGTTTTCTGGATGGTCCTCGGTGTGACGGAGTCCGAAAAGTGAACTGGCCAGCTGCCAGCCAACTGGAACCATAAGATGGTGGTAGTGGTGGTAAAGAACTCTGCGTAGGGTATGTTCTAACCTTTGCAACAAAAAAATGGAGATCCTGGAGATACCTGAAGTCCCAACTTAATTCAACTTCCACGTCTCAACTATCTGCTTCAGAATTAACAAAACATACTGGTGTTTGTCGCTTTTAACTGTTTAACTGGCAGCTACGGGACCCACCACCAGACATGTTTGCATAGTTTGAAACATGTTGAAACCATCACAGCTTGATTAAATAGGTCATAATAGGTCGACATCAACACTGAAGTACACTGAATCAAACAGCTCTCGTTCCGCTCCAAGCCGTCCTTCGGGGCAATAGCCTTCAGCATCTGAAAGAGGCCATGGGCCACAGCAGCCTTGTCTGCCTCTGTAATCTGTCGACCACGACCATCCAGGAGAAGCGCAAGGCCAAGTTGCAAAGGTGGGAATGGCAACAGCTGCCAGGCAGAAGAAAGCAAGGCCTGGAATTGCAAAACCCGTCGAAGTGGCGGGATTGCAAAGGAGTGGCCTACAGAAACGAAAGGTCATTCCAGCTTACTTCAACTGTCGATCCTGTAATTTTTGAAGATTCTATTGTTTGGCTGCATAGGCCCGACCCATGCATCGTCGGGTCTTCGTTTCCCCAATCATGCACCGACCTCCTGTCACTCATGTTCCCTGCTGCCTTCTTGGTGGACTCGGGCTGGGCAGCAAGGAAGTAAAGGCAAGAGAGCAAACAGCTCAAACCTTCTTCTGTTTGATGCCTGCATGAAATCCATGAGCAAATGGGTCATGTAGATTGTTTGAGAGGAGGCCGTGCTTGGGCTTGGGGGACCGCGACAGAATTAAACACTTGCCTTTTAGGCCTTGAAGATTCTTTGAGACCCTCTATCTAGCTCCAAACTTCTGTCTGCGACCCATTCTTCCAAGCAAGCCTGCAGCCAAAGAGGTGCTGATTGTCTCTTTTTGTGAGTTACCCCCACAAGATTGACACTCCCCCGGTCAAGTTGGCGACTTGAAAGAGCAAACATGATGGCTGCAGCTGGAATGGTACATAGAGCTTTCAAATCCACCATGACCCTATTGCCAAATTGCCTGCCAAATGGGGGTAATCCGATGCAATCAAAGCAATCAAAGCCCCAGGTGGACAACAAGCACACATTGAGTGGGTGCATTGTCCCAGAAACCCTGATCCACTCCTGATCAGCTAGGACATGGTCACCCCTTGACTTCAGTCGTCTAGCTTAATACCCTCAATATTCAGGACACCATACAAATAGCTAAGTCCTGCCAGACTGCCAAGTCCCTCAAAAGCTGGTGCTAACCGAGGGACCTGTTGACCACTTGCCATGATTCGTCTGCTGCAAAGAGCGTCATGCGATCCATTGAAGGTCCCTGCAGTTGGGCCCAGCAAAACCTCATGCCATTCCAACGACCCAGCGAGGCAACAATGGTCACCACTGGATTCAACGCGCATTTCCCCTGCAACACATCCGGGAGTAAAAACGACAACGTCTCTGTGGGATTGGTGGTTTAGCCGCTGGTTGGTCCAGGCCAACACCTTCTAGGGTAATCCACCAGCACACTCATCGCCAAGAAGCTGCATCGTTGTGTGACCTTGCAACACCAGCTGCTTGTTTACAACAGAATGGCATGCACAATCATGTGCACAGCAACCCTGAATTTCCATAGATACAAGCATGCAGAAACTATACGTTTATCTTGTGCAACTGCCTGGCATGGGCCTGAATTGCCATGATGATTGGTTGCCAGTGCCACTGATTTCGTTTTTAAGCGGGAAATGCTGCTGGCCCAATACTTTACCTAGATGCTGCAGTTTTACTGATGTGTAAATAATCAACTGATTAGAGATGGTTAACTAGTATCATCTAAGCTTAATTGCTAGTAATCATGGTCAACACTTACCATACTCAGATTAGGCATCTGGAAGGCAGCTATCAACAAGCACGTTGACTTTCTCAAGCAAGTGGCATAAAGCACTTCGCCCTCGAGAAGCACATCTTGACATCTGTCTGTGGCTGATGGAATATCTAAGCCTCATTGCAACGCAAGCGCCTGTTGCTGCTCAACCTGGCTTTCACAGCCACATCACAGTATGAAGCTTCCGAATGCATAGAAGATCATAGTAGTAGCAATCTTTTCAGCACACTTGATCATTCTGTATCATTCTTGAACATACCTGCTGTTGGTCTAAGAGAAGCAAATCCTACGAGGAGCAAATCCTATAAATCATTTCACTAAACAATGTACATGGCCTTGGGATGAGGCTCAGCTACTGATATCTAGAGCCTTTTTATGCCTTTTTAATTCCATCCCCCATTCATATTAAACAGCACCCTGTAAACATGGTGAAATGTAGGATCCCCCTAACATCAAACAGCCCCAAACAAAACGTGGTTTAGTAATGCTTGGGAGGGATTGACATAGATTGATACATTTATTTGGCACCATACATGACCATGGTGCTGCAACATGTCAGGGGGGATGCCCATGCCATGGTATCATGCCGAGGCACGGTGCGAAGGCACCCAGAGATCCAACAAGGCGTAGCTTTCCGCGGAAACGGAGATCTCGGATCCACCAGGGTTTCCAATGGGGTACCCAATAGCTGGATGGTTTATATATGTTTATATAATATGGACAAAAAACGATTGAAGATCCGAAATGAAACGGATAACTGGGGTCACCACCATGTCAGGAAACCTCCGTGTGTTACAAAACGGGTCTATATAAGTAGTCAGACACTTATTTCAAAGGCGACCGGCGACAGTATTCAGACCATGTTATGGTACATCAACGGGAAACAAGCTACTTTGATAAATGCCAAGAAGAAACATATATTTCGATCTATTTCGTAATAGCTTGTGGCTGTTGCCAGGCTGGCGTTTTCTTCAGCTGAAAAAATCGTCAATTTTGATTGGCGAGGGCAGTCGCATGGACCGTTCCAGATTTCAACGAAGCCGAGATACAGTCACCTCTGCTTCCACCTGAACACCGTCTCGAAGCTCACCCAGCATCACTGCATCGTGCCGGTGGAGACCTGGATTCCCAGGGGCAGCTTCAGCAGATGGATTCGCCAACTAGCAGCCCGGAATAGTACTGTATTCAGCAATAGACAGAAGCCTTTCTTAACAACAAACTATGGACACTTCGTGCGCAAACAATATGCATTGTTTTCTAGAGAAGGGTGGGAAAATGACTTCGAACTAGCTGAACAGATACGGTTTTTCCCCATCTACACATGTCACCAGCCCAGGACGGCCTGTTTGATCTTGCACTCGCAACTTCGAGGGCAGAATCCGCCATTCGCGGTGCAGCCTCAGTGAGGGTCGAAATGGCTCGACAGCCCCAATGAGGTTTCATTATGTTTCATGGGTTCATGTGATTTGATTTTCTTGGTCCAGAGGGAATACACCTGGCTGGAAATTCATGGAAGCCTGGTAAGCATGGTGCGGCACTCGCCCGAAGGATGAGCTGCTCCAGTGCCCAGTCGACATGGATGGCAGAATATTGTATAGCCTCTACGGTTGAGTTTGCATACGTATGCATATGTTAAAGCTACATATTTACACATGTTCTACTTTGCAGCTAAGCTGTTGCTTCTCTGAATCATTTCCAACCTCTTCAAACTGAGATGGTAAACCAAAACACATCGTTCTTGGATTTCTTGGTGGTTGTGATCTAGCCTCAGCTTCCCTACAAAGAATTCCATCCCGGCAGCATGATTCATGAGTCTCAGCCGCTGTCTCAGCCCTCTAACTGTGCCAAGTTACGAACGTTTCAAGTCCCAAATGCTGTCGTTGCTTCTCATCTTGCGCTTCAGAGGCCGTTTTCCATCCGGCCCGTGACAGGTAACTTGCATTGACCAGGGGTGGGCACCCCTTAGCAGTTTCTGCGGAACACTTCTTGAGATTTATACGGTCCCAAAGTCCCAAAGCCTGAGAGATTCATAGCCCGCTATCAGCCATCTGAAGGATGGGAGCAACATGGTTCATAACACATATATGGCTACCCAATGCTACCCATATCAGAAGTCATTATATAGCCCAACTGGACAACGATACAAGTGTGCACATCTATCTGCTTCTGGTGGCTTAAGTGACCAGCTGAAACTGGGAAGCACTCAGCCACAATCATAGATCATGACTATCGTGACAGATTTGCTGGAAAGTGGCCACCAAAACCATGACAGGCTATGGAATGCCCATGAACGCCCTGCATGGATTTGTTTGCAACATCTTCCCCTATTCTGCAAGATAGTTTGGTACAGAAAAGGGGTTGCTATATAGAGGTTTCCTAAAATAGGGGTACCCGTAAATCACCAATTTTGAACCATTAACCATTAACAATTATTCATTATTACTATTCATAGGATTTTCCATTAGAAACCATCCATTTTGGGAAACCCCCATTGTAAGAAACCTCCATAGGCCCATGCCCTGGGACGAGCCGCCTCTCACAGAGCGTGAAAACTGGGGGAATCAGTGGGACCACCTTAGAATCGCAGGACTGGCATAAGGCACATGACTGTGAGAGAAATGATATATATATATAATATAATATATAATATATATATATATAATAAATATAATATATATATAATATAATATATATATATATAATATATATATATAATATAATATATATATATAATATAATATAATATAATATGATATAATATAATATAATATATAATATATATATAAATATAATATAATATATATATAATATAATATATATATATGGTCATATATATATATAAATATGTGCCCTGGTCAAGTTACATCGGATTAATGTGAAGCGTCATCCATCCCATGATTGGATCCTTGTTATGGGTCTCTAGTCTCTAGACGCTTGTTCATGATGGTATGACCATCCTCCGAGATGGGTGTATAATTCAAGCTTTTGACCATGGCCCATGGCACATGATGATTGAGGATAATTTGAAGGGACTGCTGTGATTAGGAGGCCATCATTGTCACCGTGGAGCCGACCGACAGCATGCCTACTATATCCAATGATATTCGCGGGCTGATGCTGGTTGATCATGAACATGACTTCCCCCCATAGCTAAAAAACTCACCAGGTTCTGCACCAACCCGTCAAGGCACAGCTGCTTCATCATCATGGGTGATTCCATGACTTCGCAGCATCAAATTTTGGCAGTCTGAGCCAGTGAGATTCGTGGCTTTAGACTTCAATTCTTTTACCTCGCCGGGCCACAAGAAACCTTTGAAAGGACTCGTGAACAAAGGGCAAAACATGGCAAAACAGTAGGACAATGGCAACAAGGTTTATCAAGGTTTCACAACACCACACAAAGATCATGCAAGTGAGGGCCTGTGAGAGCCCGGGAGATATACTATTATTGAATGAAGCTTTGCGACCATGATCGTGCGAGATCCCATGAGGAGAAACGTCGGATACAATGGAGATGGTTCCACCATGAGCAAAAATGAACTGTGCAATATTGAAGCCTTATCAGTCATAGGTAAGGTTTGCCACAACGGGGACCCGGGTCTCAGATATGTTGCGGTGAGGCCAGGCTTGGTGTCAGTGTAGACACAGGTCGCTTCACCAGAAGCCTGCAGCACCACAAGCAACGCTTCGCCAGCTTCGGCCGTGCTGTTCTTTTTCTCTGGATCTTCCTGAAGCGGGAAGATGGCTCGACCCTCATTAACTGGGGCCATGTCCGCAATATTGGGAACCACTCGTTGGGAACCAGTGGGCCAGGATCATGTATGTCTAAAGTCTTCAATTCCGACTGCCTAAAGGACATGATCGACATTCTCAATCATCCTTAGGGGGTTTGCACTGGTCATGCTGCAAAGCCCGATTGTCGACTCAAGCGAATGCCTTGAAAGCGAAAACATGGACATGGAATGACATTCACACGGGCAGCAAATCATCTGTATCAAGTAGGCCGCAATTCTCTTAAATCATGTTAAATCATGTTAACTCTACAAACACATGTTTTAAATAAGAGGTGCACCAATCGAACCCTTCAAAGTGACAGAACCCCGGATCTGAGGATCTACCGAGCATCAAGGTAATGCCACTCCCCTCGGCAAAGCGGGCACTGATGTTTCCCATCAGCTTGAAATGAATCCAACAAGCACTGGCCGTGGAAAAAGTGCAAGCACTCACGATTCCCAACCACAATGTCATCGCCACCTGACACACGGATTGGACCTGTTAGGATGCCTGGTGAGCGCATCGTCTTTGAAACATACTCGTCAGTTAGAATCATCATCCGAATCTGGTACAAAAAACACCACTCTTTGAGTCAGGTCCTGGCAATGATGTGTTGCTGCTAGTGGCACATGCTGTGTAGAGGGATGGCATTCGCCTCCAGGATGTGGGAATATGGGAACCATAAACATGTGTAACAAGAATGTTATCGTTAGATCATGAAAAGTTGGATTGTGATTACTGTATCCCCAGTATATCCCAATATAATGGTTGGTTTAATCCCCAACAACACCATCAACCTGGGATCAACTGCGGTTGAGCAGGGAAGGTAACAGCCAGCTTGAGACGGAGGACGTGGGAACAGCAAAGAATAATGGGGTTCCACTGTGTTTCACCAAGTTCGCCAAGTCGAAACACGTTGCCAATGGTGAAACACCATGAAGCACCCAAAAACCCGTATATATAAACCCATTGCAGGTCACCAGGGTCTAAAGCGACATGACATTTTCCTTCACAACCCACATCTCCACTTTTGGCGAAGGAACTCTCACTGAGACCGTTCAAACAAATGGAACACAGGTCTGCATGGCAAAGATCAGCGGCCCATCGTTGTGGATGCTCCTTTTGTAGGAAGGCGGCTGGCTGAATCTTCAAGGCCGCTTCATATCCTTAGGATTTAAAGGCCTGACGGCCGACCCAATCGCTGTTTTGACTGGCCGCTACGCTGCTTGGCTTCCAAGGCCGTTGTACAGTGTTGCATGATTCGTACCTTGAGGAAATCTGCAAACAAAGCACTCTCTCAGAGCAAAACGCAGCAAACAATACAATGAACAAAACCAAGCATCCCCACATTTTAAAACGCGCATTGGCTGTGGCGCAAACACAGCCAGTGCCCTTGCAGCTTCCAAAATGAAACACATTGGTAGAATCTTCATCACCATCTTCCCCTGCTGAGTAGATGATGCCCTCAATGTCTGCAATCTGCTTGGCTAAGCTCAATGTGCAAAGCTCTCCATCTACTTTCACCTGAGTCTGAATTCCAGTCTTTATGATGCTGATGGGACTTGAGATTTCGGATGGGCACACCCAGGCGCAGCCACAAAGAATTGTAATGCGCTGGTTCCCTCCGAAAGGAATCCTTTGAGCTAAGAACTCCCCTAGAAATATGTCCACCCATGCAGGGATTGTGAAACAGGGCTACCATTACACAAACCTACCCGGCTACCCGTCTCTAAACCCATTTTTGCTTGTCAATCCTGTAAAGAACCCAATGGCCTTGGAGCCTTTTACCATCTTTTGTTCATTAAATGCTTGGCCGTTCACCCACAGTTGAATATTTTGAATGGGATCAATCTTTCCAACTATACACTGAAGAAATCTCCACCATCATGAAGCCGAACAAGAGGCTGAATTCTGCCATGGCTTGACCCGAAACCCTCAAACTGCACAAGACTTCGGGCGCAAGAGTAGAAAGCATGGACTTGCAATTTTACAGACACACACAGAACATCACAGAACTAAAAAGGACTTTCAAAGCTACTAGTTGAACAGAGATTATAAGTGACACATGTGAAACTGTTTTGAAAAACTATCTCAGTCTGAAGTCTGAAGGCAGGCGTATTATTAAACATAATTCAACTTAAGGGCCTGATTGATCACTAATTTCGTTATTGTGGGAAGAACCTTGAACCCTGCCCATTTCTTGTTTCGAATGCACTAAAAACAACCGAACCTATCCATCGTAGCCAGTCACTTCCCCTGGCGGCTTTCCAGAGGCCAAGCGCTCAATGGTTTGATACTTCACTGAGACCTCACTGCAAAAACTTGACATGTTGGATTGCAGAATAGCTTAAGTCGTCAACAAACATGCCAAGACGCAAAACCGTGTGATTTTGCAGAACTATTGCCTGTCAACTGCTTCCCAAGGATAAAACGCAAACATACGCAAACCAAATGTATGCTGCTACTACTGCCACATGGCCCAATGGCACAATTGCGCCGTGGGGTTCCCTGATGTACCGGTGAACACCGATGGTAAATGATGTTTGAGCGATGGTGAAAAGTATGCTGGGATTTCAAAACAACTCAACCTGAGACATGACCTGGAATTTCCAAACCTACCTCTTGTTGGCTACCTGTTCAATCGTTCATAAATTTTGATCCACATGACCATCACCCCAGACCGAGGCCTTCCCTTCATCATCCGGAAGCATCTCTACATCTTCCGCAGGCGCACTTGGCTCACAGTTGTCTGCTCCGCTTGCCACAGTGCCGGTATTGTCAAGGGCATCCAATGACGACGCGCTGCAGAGGGCCCAAAGTCTTTCACCAGGGCCAAGCAGCCCTTGCACCTTGGAAATGCAAGCAACAAGGACATGGAACACGTTAATGCCTGAGATGTCTGCTATTCACCATCCCAGTCTGAATAAACTGACGAGCACTAAATCCTTGAGAACCGGAACGTGCAGGTGTACAGAGTGTATAGATTGTATACATGCTTGCGACTCAGTCCCCTTTGATGAGAACAATTTCAGAATAAACTAAAATAACAGTGGTCGGACATACAACTGCGCAGCATCGTTTACCCTGTTGCAAAACTAGCTCGCCGCAGTTAACAGTGTCAATGTAGAAGAAAACAAACATACAGACTTGAATCAAGAACAGCGGAACTTTGCTGAGATGCATTTGTTTCAAGAACGTAGCTAAAACAATTGAAGCTAGGGGAGGCATTGCGCTATCTGTAGTGTAAGAAGAAACAAAACAACAAGTTCCTGCTGTATGTCACAAAACAAAGGTCTTGACCCACAAACATGTGGCGTCGTTTCATCTCATCGTTTTCACATTGTTCTGGAAACAATCATCGAAGGAATTTTAGAAGTCAAACTTCCGACAATATGGACAGATGAAAGGCAGAGATGGGACGAGTCAGAGAAGAGAAGGAGAAGATCACGAAAGAGAAAGCCTCAGAAGAAAGAAGATCCAGTTGCGCGAAAAGGTAGGAAAGTCGCGAAACACTGTGTTTATCCAATGATTTGTGGCTCCGGAGGGTCGAAAAGTTGGCTCGCTCAAGCGGCGGGTGCAGAGCCAGCTGGCCAGATGAGAGATGAAAAATTGCACCCCATTGTGGCGCGAAGCACATTTCGAAGTCAAAATGTACAAAACACCTCAGCTCCGGAACACTTTTAGAAGTTGCGCTGTCGGAAAAGTGCACGCCGTTGTGGCACGAAGCACATTTCGAAGTCAAAAGTGTAAAAAACTGACGCGCTCAGAGCACTTTTGGAAGTTGAGATGTCGAAAAAGTGCACGCCGCTGTGGCACGAAGCACATTTCGAAGTCAAAAGTGTAAAAAACTGACGCGCTCAGAGCACTTTTGGAAGTTGAGATGTCGAAAAAGTGCACGCCTTTGTGGCACGAAGCACATTTCGATGTAAAAATGTTAAAAGCACCGCATGCTCGGACTACTTTTTGACGTTCAGATGTCGTTGCGTGTGGCAGGCGCAAGGGCTCGTGCACCTTGCCAAAAGTGAGAAAACGTGAGGGTTTTGTAGCATTTCTAAAAACGATGGCAGGCGTGGGACATTTGAAGAGGATCTGCAAAGATGCATTTTTCGTGGCAGGTGCAGTACAAGAGACATGTTCATCAGAGATGTTAGGAGGTCAGGGCGCTGATTTCCGGAGAGGGGTTGCATTTTGGAGCATCAGATCTTCAGGTTTGCTGAGATGATTTTGCGTGACAGGTGCAGCACTTCGTATGACCTGGCATCACTTTTTCGTGGCAGGCGCAGTAGTTAGACAGGTGGAGTGGAAAAATCGCAAAACGCATTGGTACGAGGCCGTCAGCTCTGCTCTCAACTTTCCATTTTTGAAGGAATTCTCGCAGAATTGTTTCGTTTTTGACGTTGTCACTGTCAAAAAATGGGGAAGTCTCGCAGAATTGTTTCGTTTTTGATGTTGTCAAGTTCAAAAACTCGAGGAAGTCTCGTAGAATTGTTTCGTCTTTGATGTTGTCAAGGTCAGACATTTAGGAAGTCTGGTAGAATTGTTTCGTTTTTGACGTTGTCAAGTTCAAAAGTTGAGGAAGTCTCGCAGACTTGCTTCGTTTTCAAGCTTGCAGATAGACAGATAGATAGATAGACAACTACAACTGCAACTACAACAACCAATGCCACTACACTACACTACTACTACAACTACAAAAACAAATATACTACGCTACATTACACAACACTAATTACACTACACTACACTAATTACATCTAATTACACTACACCATACACTAATTACATTACAAATAATACAACAGCAACTACTACTACTACTACAACTACTACTACAACCAACTACTACTACAACTACTACTACAACTACTACTACAACTACTACAACCAACTACTACTACAACTACTACAACTACTACAACTACTACAACTACTACAACTACTACATCTACTACAACTACTACACCTACTACTACCACCACCACCACAGCTACAACTACAATTACAGCTACACTACAGTACACCACAATACACTAATTAAACAGGAGCACATTGCAACTACAAATGCAAATACAACTACAACTACACTACATTACACAGCACTACACTACACTAATTACATTACATGGCATCTTCAGCTGCAACTACCACTACATTGCACTACACGACACTACACTACAACTACAACTACACTACTTTACAATACAATACATTAGGCTGCACTACACTAAACCATGCTACAGTACACTGAAACACACTACACTAATTACACTACATCACAACTACAACTTACAACTACAACTCCACTACACTACAGCTACAACTACGCATACAACTACAACTTCAACTGCACTACACCACACTACATCCAGCAGTTGTGGTGAGGTGACCACTGCAACCATTGCAACCACTCCAGAAAACACAACTCCAAGCACCTTTCGGTCCATCAGTGGATCCGCTCTTCCATCCGTGAGTCACAACAACCCAATCTACTTAAATTAATAAAGTATAGAAAATAAATATATACCGTTATAACCATCTACCCTGTTGAGCAAGTTTGATTGCGGAGAGCCCCAATCGGTCGATCGATGGAGGTCGTATGAGTTACATGAGTGATTGTAAGAGGGAAGTGGAGACTCATTGAATCCTAAAACTTCAAACATAGCAAGCCTCTGTAGTTGTGCACCCAAGGCGCAACATCATCTTCATCCAACAGCGGCCCGTTGCTGGACCCCTGTCGCAAATTTACTACTTCACACTGTTGCCAGCCATGGAGTTTCTGCATGCGTCGTTGTGTCTCTCTTTTCAGCTCAGAAACTGTCCTTGGCAGATCTTGGCAGCTGCGGAAAGGTGCAACTCGGTGTCGAGATCTCGATCTTTAAAAACCCCACAACAAATCTGACCATTTCAGCCTACTACCTGGGCTTCAAGTATCTGGTAGTCAACTTGGGTTGTCTTTCTCAAGAAATACCAGCAGCTTTGACCGTGATTGTTTGAACCAACCGTGGCCTTCCACAAGCTCTGTCTGGTTGAGTTGGGGTACATCCTATCCATGTCCGAAACAAGGCCCTGGGTTCTTAAATCGGCTTTGTACTGCAGCATGGGAATGCTGAATGTAGGACAAATATACATATATATATATATATTATATTATAATATATTATATGATAATATATTATATATATATGTATATATATAAATGTATAGTTCATATATATATATATGTATGTATGTATGTATGTATGTATGTATGTATGTATGTATGTATGTATGTATGTATGTATGTATGTATAATTATATATATGTGGCCCAGGCCAGCAACCCCCCCCACCCCCATAGATAAATACGTATATATATATATAACAAAAATAAATATCGTTAATCAAAATATGATATCTATACATCTATCGCCACAGCTCTGGCCATCCACTTTGGCCCAATGATGTGGCCCTCTGAAGCCCAGCATCATGCCCTTCGAAATGGGCAGCAAAAACACTTCGGCCTTAGACATGATGCGAGCCCTGGAATCATCTTGGTGCCAGGGGTTCATAGGTACGAGTACCATCATGGTAATCTTAGCGACAAAACCCCATGAGTTGGGAAAGAAAAAAAACACGTAGACTTGCTAGGAATTTGATAGCTCTGTTAAGAAATGTTGGAATCTTATTGGAACTGCACAAATTGCAAGAAACATCAAGCAATCAAGCCCAAATCAAGCATGAGTCAGGCCGGAGTTTGTGGCAAAACATGAGACAGGAATTGCGCTGAACCATGGTAAAAATGAAGATTTGCACATGCCTTCCTTGTCAGCAAATCAGCAAACATCGATGTGCCAGTGGGGTCCGGCAGAATCCAGTTACAATCCAGCCTTCAAGCGGCTTGGAACCACTTAATTTCCCACAATTTGAAGGAGACCCCTAACGAAGTGATACCGAACATGTCTTTTATTTGTCATCATATCTATCGATCCATCTATATATCTATCGAACATATCTACCAAACACATCCGTGTATCCATCTATCCATCCATCCATATATCTATCTATCTATCTATCTACCTACCTACCTACCTACCTATCTATCTATCTATCTATATATCTATCTATCTATGTATATCTATGTATATCTATCTATATCTATCTATATCTATCTATATCTATCTATATCTATCTATATCTATCTATATCTATCTAAATCTATCTATATCTATCTATATCTATCTATATCTATCTATATCTATCTATATCTATCTATATCTATCTATATCTATCTATATCTATCTATATCTATCTATATCTATCTATATCTATCTATATCTATCTATATCTATCTAGATCTATCTATATCTATCTATATCTATCTATATCTATCTATATCTATCTATATCTATCTATATCTATCTATATCTATCTATATCTATCTATCTATATCTATCTATATCTATCTATATCTATCTGTATCTATCTGTATCTATCTATATCTATCTGTATCTATCTGTATCTATCTATATCTATCTATATCTATCTATTTCTATATCTATATCTATCTATCTACCTATCTACCTATCTACCTATCTACCTATCTACCTATCTATCTATCTATCGACCTATCTATCTATATCTATCTATATCTATCTATATCTATCTATATCTATCTATATCTATCTATATCTATCTATATCTATCTATATCTATCTATATCTATCTATCTTATCTTATCTTATCTATCTAATCTATCTAATCTATCTATCTATCTATCTATCTATCTATCTATCTATCTATCTAATCTATCTATCTATCTATCTCTATCTATCTATCTATCTATCTATCTATCTATCTATCTTATCTATCTTATCTATCTTATCTATCTTATCTATCTTATCTATCTTATCTATCTTATCTATCGTATCTATCGTATCTATCGTATCTATCGTATCTATCGTATCTATCGTATCTATCGTATCTATCTTATCTATCTTATCTATCTTATCTATCTTATCTATCTATCTATCTATCTACCTATCTATCTATCTATCTATCTATATCTATCTATCTATCTATCTATCTTATCTATCTTATCTATCTTATCTATCTTATCTATCTTATCTATCTTTTCTATCTTATCTATCTTATCTATCTATCTATCTATCTATCTATCTATCTATCTATCTATCTATCTATCTATCTTATCTATCTTATCTATCTTATCTATCTTATCTATCTTATCTATCTTATCTATCTTATCTATCTCATCTATCGTATCTATCTCATCTATCGTATCTATCTTATCTATCTTATCTATCTTATCTATCTTATCTATCTTATCTATCTTATCTATCTTATCTATCTTATCTATCTTATCTATCTTATCTATCTTATCTATCTATCTATCTATCTATCTTATCTATCTATCTATATCTATCTATATCTATATCTATATCTATATCTATCTCTATCTATCTATCTATCTATCTATCTATCTATCTATCTATCTAATCTATCGTTACACATAATATATTGTTGTTTTTTATTGATGTCACATATTTTATATTATATATAATTAATGTATATTTATCGACCTAACTGTTCAATGTACTCTAATCGAACGCAATCAACATGCTAATTCATTATTCAATCTATCTCTCCAGCTCTATTGCTATTGAGACGTGGTCTAGCAGTCTAGCTTTGGAGCTTTGGAAATTGCCCTTCCTTATAATACTTGGCTGCCGAGAGAACAAGCGAGTAAATTTGCAAGGAAGCAATGAATGGAGTTTCCCAAATACCGACCCAAGGCGCTGTGGTTTTGGATGGTTTGGGGTCGGTCTTGAAGTCGAGCAAATGAGACTTGCAGGGGGCCCTATCCAAACCCACAAAGAGTGGTAACAACATCAAAACCGAGGATCTTTGGAGTCAACCCGCACAACATTGACTTCCAAGCGCATCATGGCACCAATTGCACCACCAACCAGTCCGATGTCTTTCACACCGCGCGGGACAGCTGGTGGGATGGTTACGGCAAAATGACAAAGGGGTGGGCAGCGTCGATCGTTGAAAGTTGAGGTGAGATCTGAAATCTGACACATCATTGCAACTTGATTGCATGCTCCTCGTCTGCAATATTTGTGGAGGCTGAGAGCGTTTAAAGAATCCACTTCAGGACACTCGTGTTGGCCGGTCGGAATACACGTGTTTGCTTCACCTACAACTCTCGGACCCTGCCCGAACACAAATGTATCAGGCCGCATCCCTGTTTGGTGGATGACATGCGCCACGCCATGGACCATGGATGGGTGTGGTGACATGAACATGAGAATGTCATGTTTCTTCGCAAATCATCACACGTATCTGATTAGGCTATTGGCTACAGTACTTCCCTATAATGTCAACATTGCTACTGCTTTGTCTTCACCATTGTTGCCTCCCCAGGACTGGGCTGGGGGGTGGGTCTCGAAACGGTCATGATTACGAGTCAACAACAAGATCCCGCAATTTTGGATCAATATCAAAACTCATCAGGTTTTGTTCTACAAGGTAGCAACCTCCAATAAATATCGAAAAGTAATTCATCCAACGTAGACAAATCGTGATTTAAGATGATTTTGGGGGTTACCAACGGTACACGAACGGTTGCTATGGGTACCAACTACTCCTGGGCAAAAACACAGCAGCCATCGGCGTCACCTCTTGGCCACTGCTTGGATCAGGGGTCGAGTCTCTGGATGATGGATCTCCTTGGGCCAAGCATGGCCAAGCTGATCTCCAGGTGAAAGGTATCTTGAGACTTCGAAAGTAAGCTGGTTGGTGGTATACCTACCCTCTGAAAAATATGAATGTCAGTTGGGATGATGACATTCCCAATACATGGATAAATAAAAAAAAAAACCAAACCACCAACCAGTAAGGGTATCATGTTTGGACAACAGCAACAAGAAAAAATAAGAAGGATAAGAAGAAAAAAAAGAACTAAGAACAAAAACAAAAAGAATAACAACAACTCACCAGAAAATATCAATTTTATGGTGATGTAATCACAAATAATGCAGCATAATCCCTTCCCAATACCAACCAATCCCTGGTGGGCATGACTTGAAAGTATTCGCGTTGGGGGTTTGTTTATCGAGGGGCATTAATGGACATGGGATACCTTACGTGGCAATTTCACATGGCCAGGAAATCCTCGTCTGAAACAGACCGATCGTATCAATTGCCAGGTTAAATTGCTCTGACTGGGAAGACCCTATCCTTTTGCGGAGCTAAAAACACATCAGAAAGAATAGAAAGAATGTCCCCAGCCTCGAATATATCTTGCATTTGTTTCAACACATAGAGATACGCCGATCTAGTATCATTGTCTCAAGTTGAGTAATTTTATATTGAACATGCTGACCCACAAAAACTATGTGCTTCATCTTGTTTCCCTAGATTTTTCCGAATCTTGATAAAGTCCTTCAAGGCCACAACTCCTACTCAGGGGTTGTTAAATGTCTTAATTGAACATAACCCAAAGTGATGTTCAAAATCCATCAAAATCACACAATTTAGTTGGCTGATTTTCCCATGAAAAAAACATCCACACTTTCTGCGGGATTTCGCCGAGTGGCACATCCGCCGAGGACGCAAATGTTTCCGCCCGTGTGGGGCAGCTGCTCCGAGACTGCCCGGCACAAACTGTCGATCTCCATCTGCGCCAACCGCACCTGGGTGGGGTGGACTTGGTCACCCCACATGACTCTGTGGTGGAGATACCATCGAAGCATGGCAACTGGACAATTCTCCCTTTTTTTGGATGATTTATAGGTGATTTCAATGATTTCCCATTAAAACCCTCAATTTATAGAGTTTTTTCAATTGCAAACGTTTGATTACCAGATAACCATGGTAATAACCGACGAGTTGGCAGAAGTTGGTATATGGGGCCCATAGAATCAGAATGGTTTTATATCCACTAAAAGAAATCGTTTATGGCCCACCTTGTAAGAAGATGTGAGGAGTTGTTTTAGAAACCACATGAATTCTATAGACTATATCTACCATAAACACCCATAAACCATCACCTAGGTTGTAAACCAGCGAAGGGGGGCCCACCTTGTACCCTCCATTGGAGTAACATAGATCATGAAAATCCATAGTTAATCTACGAGCATGATCTGACCATGCGGGGCCAACGCGGGGGATCTCAAATTTACAGTGGGTGCTGATGTCGCATAGGTTGTCAATGTTCATTGGGGATAATGTATATAATTATATGATCATATATAAATATTAATCCTATTATATATATATATGAAAACATGTATGTATATCTATATATATATATATCACACCAATTGCAGGAAGACCACATGTTTATAGCTTTCATCGACATCGTGCTTATGGCTGTTCCTTGGTACCACTCTTTGGAGGCGAGTTATGCACAGAAACACAGTGAACATCCCGTCCTTTCCAGGATTGGGCCGCCTCATCGCTCTCTTTGGCCAGGGGCAGTTGGAGCTTGGTGCTTTTGGGCGCTTCCAACGTGCCCTCGGGGCTGGCGAAGCCGCTTTTGTTCATAGAGCTTCCCGATTAGTTACTAGTTGAATCTCAGGTGAGGCAAACTAAGAAAGAAACATGCAATGAGGAAACAACGGAGACAACAAACAGTCATAAAAAGGCTATAAGTTTTGAAGGTTTCTTCCTTCTCCTGTTGCAATTCTGATGACTACAATGACACTGCTATTGGTGAGGTCACCCTGCAGCATATGCAAAATACTGGACCTTGTTGCCTCTGCATTGAAAAGAAAACTGATAGTTCTCAAGGCACACTTATGGGCGTGTGAATGCCTAATGTCAGGGCGGACCTGCACGTCCAACACGTCCGGTTTTCATGGTTAAATATGTTAGCTTGTGAACCTTCCATTTTAGAGGCTACATCTGATAAATTGGGATGATTTTCCCATCGTTTCGCATTAAACATTGGGCTTTTCCCATTCAAACTAGTTAAAACCAGGAAGCACCATGTTTAGAGGGTGACTTTCCAATAATATCCTTTGAAACATTAGGATTCTCCCATCAACTTGCGTTGCAGTACGTGGCCAGCGGGCGCTCGCACGTTAAAAAAAACCACACCTTCGCCTCTTCGACTTTGTCAGGCGCTCTAGCCCGTGTTGGACTCCTGGTTAGCGAGAATAGGGGGAAAACGATGGGGAGATGCATCGCTGTCATTGCCAGGTTTATATCTATATCACATATCTATATATATATATTATATATATATATACGTAATATCCGTAGGACCATGAGTGAAAAGGGTCAAAGTATGTCAAACGCCTATCCTGGTTGCCCTGTTCATGCCCCCAAAATATGGTGTGTATATATGGGTAAATTGATCCAGCACCAAAAGCAGTAGATCTATATTGATGTAATATTCAATAGATCTAGTTACAACCCAATTGAGGATCAACAGATGCAACCTTAAGCTCCAACATCCAGGCCTTAAGGACATACATCACCCCTCCGCAGTAAGAAGCAACGGAATAAGATCATGGGAGATCATGAGTATGGTTAGCAGCTAATGGCATGAAGGGGAATGCAATTGGTCTTCTTGGCAAATTTCAAGTTCATGGAAACTCAGGACTTTCAATATGGTCTTGTCAAGAGAAAAACACTTGCCGACCAACTTGATGGTTGGTCCAACTGTCGGAGGAGCAGACCAACTCCTTTGGTTCCGTCAGTTTTAAACATGCAGTATCCATGTTTTGGATGAGTTTGACATCTGCAGGTTTAAAGACAGCAAACAAACCAAGGTAAACTCTGGGGTCGAGCCCCAAATCCCAACCCGAAAGCTGCCACGCCTATCCCCTATTCTACCAAGCAGTGTGGTACCGTCAGCCTGCGCTTTGAGGAACAACATGGACTTGGAAATGGAGACACTGGTTGCGGGGAAAAAAACAACTTGCATGTGAGTAACTGTCTGGTAAACCATCCTCCATGAATCGAAGGTGAATGAAGGTGAGAAATGATTGCACAACCAGGTCAATATCCAAACTATACCTATACCGGTGTGGATCAAAAGTCAGCTGACAGCCCAAATATCTGCCTGTCTCTTCTGTGAAACTGCTTAGGACACAGTGGTCTTGATATGGAAGCATATGGTTATTCTTGGAGCCACACATGTTGGACAATGCTGGTTATTCTTGACAGACACCATCCAATCTGTTGCATGATTCCATGAATTGATTCAAAGGACAATGCACAGAACACCACTATGTTTTTTTTGCCTCCGGAAATTATGGTTTCCTGTAACTATTCCCTTAGACCACTTTGTTTGGTAATGCATCTGCTAAACCTATTCTTGACTGCTGAACCATGCTAAATGATTGTGTTTTATGGAACCATCATGTTAAATCCTCAGTGTTCAGCATTTTTTCAATGTCAAAATCCCACCATTTTAAGGGCTGTGTCCTTCAGTCTGGTACCTCGGAGTCGGATGATTGTCATTCTCCACCATTTTCCTTATGAAACTGGCCATTTAAAGGATATACCCTCTGGTTATTTAACATAGCCATGGTATAGATGGCCCATAGAAATAGATGGTTTACCTAAGTTTACCTATTAAAAATGGTGATTTTCCATGGCGAACTGTTAAATAACCAGAGGGTACATGGATATACCGATGATATTCCCTATTTGGGGCTGGTTATGGTTGGTTGGCCGCCCCAAACCTCCAAGGAAATCAGCTCATCCGAGGGTGGTGAGACGCTGACCAGAGGAGCTGGCCCTGGAGCCTCGTGATGGGACGGGAATAGCCACAATGGTGCTGGCGCCCCACCAGGTGATGTTTGTTGGTTTGTGAACATACTATGTATATATATATATACATATATTATGTTATATATATAATGTTATATATATGTGATGTTAAATATATATATATAATATTATATATATAATGTTATATATATATATATTTATTATCTTATACCATAAAACCTTGTTGAGTGAACGAAACAAACTTAACTAAGTGGGGGGAGCACTGTCTTGCATGTTTTGTTTTTCTTTACTATCAAATATAGCTTCACCCGTAAAAATGACAATGCATAAACCGGTAATTGAATCATTGAACTAAATTGGCCATGATTTCCATATAGCAAACTGTAAAATTACCAAAGGGCAAACAACAGTTCAAAAATATCAGCAATTCATAGCTATACTTCCCAAATGTTCAAACTATGATTTCAATTTATGGATATATGGATAAACATCTACATTCTTCGACCGAATTCTACATATTCAAACTATGAGTAGGGCTATGAACTGGGACTTGGCATGATCCCTTCGGCCAGCCTCTGCCTGAACACCATGATTGCAGCCCATGGCTCCTGGTAGCCTGGTAGGTGTTTCTCAAAAATTGGGGCCCCAAACCGTTGCTTCCGCAGGAAAAAACGTAACATAAATATACATATAAATAATTAATCAAACATGAATGATATGCTGATATGGGTTGGCAAAAAATGCCGAAGTTGGATCGAAATCAAGCCAGCTAGTCAGTAAGCAATGCTGCACCTCCAACACAGAAAATATTATCTGTACTTGGTGTTGCGCAAATGACGCAGGAACACAGGGGACCCCTCAGTAAAGTATCCTGCAGTCATTTAAGCTCGCAATGGAAATCCGCTGTTTAAACTGGAACATCATATCTACAAACAGGGGATCTTCCTTTACCACATTCACCGAGGCAAGCATGAGTCATGGGGTTGGAAAGGGGCGCTGGCGTGTTGGCCTGTTTGTATCTACCAATTGCTCTAGTAAAGAAAGCAAATCCCATGTATTTCATCAGGGTTTATGTTTGATATCTGTAGTAAACCATGCTTTCTTGTGGGGATTATACATTAATAGGGTTACACATTAAAACCTGACCATTCACCACGGGGTGTAACTCCACGCGTCCATGTTTTACCCAAAGTGTGAATCATGTTGACGCCTACACAAATTCTGCCAAATTCTGACGCCAGGCCCAGCCCAAGACCCAAACCATGCCACCACTTTCCCGACGGCTGTCCTGCGGCCTGTCACAACACGTCTCCCACACCACCAGGGCGCTCAAGCCAAATAGTTCACAAATTCCGTGTCACGGCTTCATAATGTGCAGGCAACCACTACAAGTCTCGTGAATTCTACGGTCTCACTACGTCTTCCTTTTCCATCCTTTTCGTGCCACCAAAAGATCTTGAAATCTCCAAGTGGTTTCTGTATAACTGGTTGAAAGTTCCTGTTTATGTCTATGGGGGATGTCACTAACCCGCAGCAAAGTGAGACTGTTATATCTGGTACAAACAAATCGGAACCGCTCTACAATGTTTTTCCCCAAGTGGCATTTTTTTTTTAAGGAACATGTCTTTCCCCGAGTCGATGCAAGTGTGATTAGAAAAGAAGGTTTCAATGGGGTATGATTTACTCTTGGCTTTACAACACAATAGATCCATTATAAATCCTAAAATCACTGACCATGTTTGCTGTATTCCCTGAAAAAGAAAACCCAACCAGAAAGTAGTAAGCTGGCTCCAACTGTAGCCAAAAATCCGTATATATACTGGTTGGTGGTTGACCTACCCCTCTGAAAAATATAAAAGTCAGTTGGGATGTTTATTCCCAATATATGGAAAGAATGCTCCAAACCACCAAACACTATAACTTTTTGTCTTCATCTCAGCACATCGCGCTACTGCTGCTATTCAGCAGGGCCGGAAATTTAGCCACCGATGTCAGGTGTGAGAAGACGACTGGGTCATGGCCATTTCTATGTTGCTATAGGATTATATCAAATGGTGGCAGGACCCTTCTCATATCACACACAAAACAAAGTATTGATTGACAACAATGTATTGCTTTTGAACAGCTAAAGTGGAAACATAAACAAAGGGGTTCTTGCAGCTGCAACCATTCAAATGGACAGCAGGTATTCTGTTATCGAGTAGCTGCGAGATCCAAACTCAAGGCAGTCTCGGTGGCCAGCAGATTGAAACTAACAGAAACACAGTGATGATTTTGCCTCTCGGACCAAAATCATCATGATGACCCACTTGCTTAAACAAAAACCTACCAGCGATAAAAAGTAAAAACATTGAACCAGTCATAAAATACCCAGATACTCAGATCCACCCGATAAATTATCTGAGTTCCAAAACATGTCGATAACTTTGCATCCAACACCTCTGGGAGTTTCAATCCACCCGGCGCCCCTCTTGGGTTCTGGTTGGTTCCTTGCCCTCAAAAGGCAGCGACTCGGACGAACCGTTTGGTAAAGGTGATGCATATACAAAAAATGAAACATGACATCATATAGATGTATAGATGACTTCAGTAGAAAATTGTGGCCTCATGTCGAAACCCGTTGTGGAAATATAATGAAATGTGTGCCATTCAATCCGTATATATAACATCCCTAGCCACCAGCCATCACCAGCCAACCAGTTGTCTGCCGACTCAGCGTCTCGTGGCATTAAGCCTGGACACGTCATGATAATAAATGATAATCATGTATATATACCAGTAGTACCGCACAAGGCGGTGGCGGAAGTTTCAACAATACGAAACTTATAGGAAGGGTTGGTTGTTGTGACTCACGGATGGTAGAACGAATCCACTGATGGACCGAAAGGTGGTTGGAGCTGTGTTTTCTGGAGTCGTTGCAATGGTTGCAGTGGTCACCTCACCACAACTGCTGGATGTAGTGTGGTGTAGCGCAGTTGTAGCTGTAATTGAGGTGTATATAGTTGTAGTTGTGGCGTAGGGGAGTTGTAGTCGTAAGTTGTACGTGTAGTGTAATTAGTGTAGTGCAGTTGCCATTGCAGTTGTAGTTGTGGTGTGGAGCAATTAGCGTAGTGTCTTGTAGTGTACTGTAGTGTTGTGTACTGTAGCATGGTATAGTGTAGTGTGGTCTAGTGTATTGTAGTGTAAAGTGGTGTAGTTGTAGTTGTAGTGTAGTGTCGTGTAGTGCAATGTAGCGGTAGTTGCAGTTGTAGTGTAATGTAATGTAAATAGTGTACTGTAGTCCTGTGTAATGTAGTGTGTAGATCTAGTTGCATTTGCATCATTTGCATTTGTAGCTGTAATGTGCTGCGGTTTAATTAGTGTATTGTACTGTAATGTAGCAGAGCGGTAATTGTAGTTGTAGCGGTGGCGGTGGTGGTGGTTGTGGTGGTGGTGGTGATGGT